GTAACAAAAAAGTTTTCACAATAACGTTTCGATAAATCGTAACGTAAGAAAAGGTGCATTTTAGTAAAATTTCTAAACGTAATTAAAAGAGTTTATATTGGAAAAGTTAAGATAAAACGTAACGTTATCAAAAAATATTCTTTGCACTGAAATGCATTTTAACGTTCAGAACTATGCCCCAATGACGTTTTATAAAAGCAAAACGTTTGTCATCTTTTAGATCTTAAACTAAGTGAAAGTGTAACGTAAGGCCTCTGAAAATATTTTACTTGCATGAAAGTGGAACGTTAAAAAATTGTGGTTTTATTACATAAGCTTAAACGCAACGTTGGGAAAGTTTTTTAATACGGGAAATGCAAAAGCGTAACGGAGCTTACTGTTTTTTCACAACATTTACTAACGCTTAACGTTGTATATGGTATTCAAGTGCAGAAAATTTATCATGTAACGTTACTCTATGCCATAAAGTTTCATAATGTGCAACGTAACTTTTCAAACGTTAATACTTTTGATGAACACTATCGTAACGAAAGCTAAAATCTAGAAAAATCAAAACGTTGACATCTCTACCACACACTGCTATAATTAAATTGAACCATGGTCAAGTATGAATGAAAAGTTTGCAAATTTTTCATACAATTTTTTTGCCAAAAGAAAAGTATATTGTTTAACCACGTATATGCGTATATGGTAGATTTTAGAGGTATTTGTTTAAAATATTTGGTAATTTGCACAACTATTGTTCTTTGTTTTCTCTACAGTTAGATATTTAACAAGTTTTCAGCATATACAATTCAATATTTAAAGGTCACATAATACAGGAAAATACAATAAGGTGATATGGCCAGCTAGGAGAGGACAATAACGAGGGGAAGGAGGGGGGAGGAGTCCAGAAGACTTTGTTTCATGACGATTTATGATTTTATTCTTCCAATTTATGAATTCCAATTTTTGCTTAGAAAAGGTTTTAACCGTAGTGAATCATGCATGCTCCTACTTTGTATAATAAATATGTTTAAAAGGTTATGAATCTGTCATATGATTAGCTAGGGAATCCAGCGTTGCTTTGGTTACTCATAGTTACTCCTGCCGTTTACTCGCACTTATTCGTAAATTACTAATTAGCTTTTTTTGCCGTTAAAAGTCGACCCACTCAACTCGGAATCTAAAAACAAAGCTTAGAACATTCCTGTTTGAGACAAATCAGGTTAGGGGTTAGTTATGATCGGTAAAACAGACTAACAGACAGACAAACAGAGATTACAACTTTGCATATATAGATAAAGATTATGTTTCAATGAATGTTAAATCAAAAATGAAATATGAAAATTTCTATATTTTAAGAGATTAAGCTTAACAGGAGAGTTTCTATATTTTAAGAGATTAAGCTTAACAGGAGAATTTCTATATTTTAAGAGATTAAGCTTAACAGGAGAATTTCTATATTTTAAGAGATTAAGCTTAACAGGAGAATTTCTATATTTTAAGAGATTAAGCTTAACAGGAGAATTTCTATATTTTAAGAGATTAAGCTTAACAGGAGAATTTCTATATTTTAAGANTAGAAGCTCTACAACTGCGATGAAGTTAGAAACTAGAAAAGAAAGGATTATAATTTTATGAAACAGATTTTGTGAAGTAAAAACACATGATTGGGAGACTCTGCGGGGTATAATTTGAGACCTACTTCACTTCCGCTTTACTTAACATCCGACCTACATACACTACACATGCATTGCTTCAATTCTGAGGTTAATGTTGTTTCATTAAAAAGACAAATAAGTTTATCACAGATTTAAAAAAAATACTTAAATTTTTAGCTTCTGATATTCAGATATCTATAGAATTTTAGGGTGTTCATTGGCGCTTTTCATAAAAAATAAGTTTACATGAATATTAAATATGTTCACTTGAACATGGAAGGGACGGATCAACAATTCCAATTTGTAGATTGAGCTAGTTCATAAGTCCAAGTTCAGTAGAGTGGAAGTATTGTTGGTTCGATAAAAGACATCTGTAAAATGCTTTCAAGTGTCGGTTTTGAAACAATAAAATCAGTTAACCCATTATGGGCGAAAGCATTTTTTCTCTCAGAATTTACTAAATTTTTGAACATCATCTAAATTTGACCTAATTAACATACATGGGACATTTAATTTTGCTTCATTTTTATTTACATTTGGAGTCTTGGACAGACGTCGATATCGTCGTTTTCGGAACTGATGTACAATAACACCAGTCAATATCGACTTTTTCAAAACAATACATTGTACTTTTAAACAAAATTGACAACAAAAGTGAAAATATATGAGAAAAAGTGTTTTGTAACAGAAAAAGACATTTTTTAAGGAAAAATTTATTAAAAGTCTCTCTATATTCCCTGATATTGGATGAGAGGTGGGGCCGTGAAAGAGGTGTTGGAGGGCGAGGGGGTTAGTTTATAGAGTAATTTTTAAAGAATTTTGAAAAATACTTTCAAACATATTTTGTATTTGTTCAATTACCTGAAAACGTAGATATCAACGTTTTTATAATGCAGTATCATTTCCGAAAACGTCAATACTCAATATCGACAGATTAAAAAAATGGCAATGAAAACCTAACTTATAGTGACTAATATAAAATCAAATATCACTGTAAAATAAAAATTCACTATGTATGGACACAAATAAATCAAAAAGATTTAAAATAAGATAAAAACTAAATGTATTTACCATGTTTTCCTTTTTCCTATATTTTCGACCTGTCTTTGTACTTGCGGGTGTTACTACGTTAGACGTAGATATCGACGTTATCGCCAATAATGGGTAATAGAAAAAGGGCTTGATTGACGCGTTCGCAATTTAATAAATTTAATTTTTGTTGTAGAAAACGTACATTATTAAACATCAAAATTAAATAGAATCCGTGGATTTTCCCATTTTTTTAAAATGAATACAGACACAGATACAGATACAGATACAGATACAGATACAGATACAGATACAGATGAGATAAAGATACAAATACAGATACAGATACGGATACAGAACAGATACAGATACAGATACAGATACATATAAGATAAAGATACAAATACACATACAGATACAGATAAAGAACAGATACAGATACAGATAAAGAAACAAACACAAATACAAATATAAATACAAACACAGATACAGCCAAATCCAGAATACAAACATACTTAAAATGGTTATGTTGCGAAACGATTATGTGCAACCAACATCAAAAGGAAGGTGGGAAGGGGGGGGGGTTGAGTGTTGAATAGTTTAGATTGGTCCTGGAATTGATAAGGTTTGATAATCAAGGTTCCTGGATATCCGGAACTCCTTGCTCCTATACTATAGTCAGCTAGTGCTACAGGATATGGTTATTCAATATTTTCATTCTGTTCAATATTATTCAAGAACAATTCATGGTGCTCGCATCCTTAATTACTATTATATTTAAAATTTCAAATCATTTTCATTTCCAAACTAAGGAATTAAATCTAGGTTTCCAAATTTTCGTTCAATTTCTTTCGTGAAAGTTTTGCTCCGACATCGAAAATGGAAAAAACGAAAACGTTTTCTCTGAAACATTTTTGCGAAATTTCACGAAATTAGTTCAAATTTTCCAAACATTTTCACACTTCTATTCAAAATCCAATTAAAAAAAATGTCGAACTTTGGCTGATAATCCTATAATTTCGCAAAATGTTTTTACCAACCAATTTTGCGAAATTTGAACCTAACTTTGTAAACATTTTAAAGAAGTTTTTCGAATTTTCGTTAAAAACTTATTTTTGTAAAAGAGTTACAAAATATTTTGACATAAGAAGTGATTGATTGAAATCAAAGTACGAACATATGCTTATTCATTTAATGCAGTCGTTGCAAAATAAAATCAAATCAAATCAAAGTATGAAATTACTCAGCTGAATATTTTACTCAAGAATATGAACATGCCTCAACCTGTAGATAAGGATGGATCGTTTTAACTTTATTGAAAAACGATTATTTCGTTTAAAAAACGACAAAGAAAAACCCAAAAACGAAAAGGTCGTTTTTTGAAAAAAATCGCCGTGTCGTTAACGACGACCCTACCTTCGTTAACAATATTTTTGGTCGGAAAATCCTTAGATCTGATAATTCAGAAAATATTCAGGTTATTTCTTCCGAAAAAAACAACATTTAAAACAACATTCATAAACTTATCTTCAGAAAAAAATTAAATTAATTGTCATAAAACTCAGATTCATTTTTTTTTTAAAACAAAACGATCGTTTAAAAACAATCTTTTTTCTTTTTCAGAAACTATCCGGTTTTTTTAAAACTAAACGTTCGTTTTTTGAAAAAACGAAACGAAATTCGTTTGATCGTGAAAAAGGTGTTGGGGGGCGAGGGTGTTATGGCGAGGGGGGGGGCGAGTAGGGTTTAATTTTCAAAAAATTTTGAAAAATTCTTTATCGCCATCACGGGATATCAAAGAGAAACAATATTAATTCGTAGATGTAGATCAATGCTTGATCCAGAGAATCACAACAAAAACGTTTTGACTACAGACCGGTTTATGTTTAGAAAAATCTCAATTTCGTTCTCTTTCTTTTTTCCCTTTCAGTCCTTTTCTTCAGTTTTTCTTTTGTTTTTGATATTGTGAACCCCAACCTGACACAGCACAAAAACTTTTTTTGTTTTACCTTAACTTTGAAAAAAAATTCCTCTTTTTTTTCAAAAGATAATCTCTTTTCAAACTTTTAAAGGTTTAAAAGGAAAATATTGAAAATATATGTTTTCCCGCAGTAGAAAGGCTCAAGTCACTTTTGTATAGACACCACAATTGAAAACAATCAGTTTTGAAAATTATACACATTGAAATCTAATTCTTACTTGATCAGACAGTGCTTTTAAAGGTACCGTTGTGAATCAGACATTTCCATCCTTACATGTCGGGTCACTTGTTATTACGCAAACAGTCCCTTCAAGGAAGCAAACTAATGGAAAAATAATTTCAGAATACAACTATCTACAGATTATTTTTAATTCACAGAATAAAATGGGAGGGAGGAAGAAAGACGTCGAAAACTTGAATTCTCTGCCAAAAGGAATTCTCAAGGTAATATTAGTGTTCTACACTGTTGTGTCCATGACATAAAGAAAATAGCGGATTGTTGTGTTCTACCTATGGAAAATGGTGGATTGTTTCCTATGGAAAATGGCCAAATGTAACCTTTCATAAATGGCCGAATGTTGTGTTCCACCTATAGAAAATGGCCGAATGTTGTCTCTAACTTTTCATAACTGGCCGAATGTAGTGTCCTACCTATAGAAAAGGGCCGAATGTTGTAGGTGTCTATAACCTTTCATAAATGGCCAAATGGTGTGTCCTACCTATAGAAAATGGCCGAATAATGTGTCTAACCTTTCATAAATGGCCGAATGTTGTGTTCCACCTATAGAAAATGGCCGAATGTTGTGTCCTACCTATAGAAAATGTTCAATTGTTGTGTCTCACCTTTCATAAATGGCCAAATGTTGTGTCCGAACTACAGTAAATGGCCAATGTTGTGTCTAACGTATCATTTATGGCCGGGGACAGTTTCTTTCTTACCTGCATATATTCCTGTTTACGTCTGATTGATATATGAAAAAAACTGTTTTCAGAGAGAATACATGTGAAAAAGGTTCATTCAGTTGAATTAATTTTTTCTTGCTATTTTCTCAAATTTCAAGCAACCTGTGATATTTTAAGTACAAATTTTGGAATTGCCAGAAATAGGGTTACAGTGTGATTATTAATTCTAGAATTATACTTCAAAAATAAGGGTGAAGAATAAAATGACGCAAACTATTTCAAAGTTCAAAGACGACCTTTAAGTCATCTTGCGTCAGTCATGCTTTGAGGGACACCCTGTAGCTCAATATTTATTACACAGTGGACTAGGGTCAATTTAAATTTGAACCGACTCGACACCTTTACCGGCCTCAGTGATGTGCAGTGCAGCATATACCGGCTCGACCCTATGCCAGCTCGGTTTCAACTTTGACGGCGCGGCAAGACTCTTTACAGTACCCAGTAGAGATGTCAACGTTTTGATTTTTCTAGATTTTAGCTTTCGTTACGATAGTGTTCATCAAAAGTATAAACGTTTGAAACGTTACACGTTGCACATTATGAAATTTTATGGCATAGAGTAACGTTACGTAATGAATTTTCTGCACTTAATTTAATACCTTATACAACGTTAAGCTTTAGTAAATGTTATTGAAAAAACAGTAAGCTCCGTTACGCTTTTGCATTTGATGTTTTAAAAAGCTTACCCAACGTTGAGTTAAAGCTTATGTAATATAACCACAATTTTTTAACGTTCCACTTTCATGCAAGTAAAATATTTTCAGAGGCCTTACGTTACACTTTCACTTGGTTTAAGATCTAAAAGATGACAAACGTTTTGCTTTAATAAAACGTCATTGGGGCATAGTTCTGTACGTTACAATGCATTTCAGTGCAAAGAATATTTTTTGTTAACGTTACGTNTAGCTTGAAATATCAAAAGTCTACAACACCAGCTTGCAAAGATTATAATTTGTGGCGAATTTTTAGTTCTTTTTGTGTTTTTTTATGTTACTTACAAAATGAGTAAAAAAGCGGCATTGGCTTTAGTTTTCAAACCACAATGAAAATGTTTTCAGAGTTCATGTTTGGGGTTAAAAATATCAAATAGAGTAAGACAAGTGCTAAATTTTTTTTAACACACACAACGCGAAATAAAATTATTTAACATTTATTTCTTTTAAAAAAAATCGATTAAAAAATCAGTTTTTTTTCTGTTCTAAAGTTTCATAAAAATCTATTGATGAATAAAACATAACACGCATTTTCCATTTGATGAAATATTGTTGTATTTTATTAAGTATCTACATTTCTAAATTTTTCAACCTAAAACATGAACCATGCCAACTGAAGTTATGATTTCAAGTAGTCAAATATACATGAACCACAGCAATTGTGTTTGTTCACAGACCCGTTCCACTTAATAAGTTGATTTTTTTCCAATCAGTAAATCATTTGCTTTATAACAGAAAATGCATATGTAAAATTTCTTAATGTCGTATTTCTTTTCCAGATTTTTAGTGGGTTTCATCAAACAATGGCAAATCAAAACCTTTAATGTCCAAGAAACATTTATAAGATTTGAATTTTCACTAATAGCATGTTACAAAAAAACTCGTTTACACTTTAGAAAGGAACTAAGTTTTTTTTTCAAATTTACTAATCCCTAAATCTTTCTAACCTTGTATATTTCAATATTAATAGTCTACGACATCGGGTTGCAAAGATATATTAAATGACAATTAGACTTTTTGAAATGTTTTGATTGACAGAATTATTGTTACGCTTTTGAAATTAAAACTCAACCCTCATAACGTTTTATGAACAACATTTTCATCAGACATATATCTAACGCTAGACTAATCAATTTAGTATTCAGAGAAAAGTTATGAAACTTTTTGATTTACAGAATTTCATTTTTTTAAATGTTATACGTTACATTATTGAAATTTTACTTTGTAAAAAAACTTTCGTTTCCTGATTATTAAAATAATAACCCATTTCTGCAACGTTGAATTTTTCATTATACTATAAGGGAAAACGTTTCAAAACGTTTTCATAAACAGTTATGCATTTTTCAGTTATACAACGTTACACTTTTTATAAGTTGAACTTTGAAATAGAAATCTTTTCGTTACGATATTCAATCAAATCAGAATTTATTTTTTAAACGTTAGACTTTCAAGCTCCCTTTGGAAACAAAACATTTCTTTACGTTATGGTCAAAAAAGTTGTAGATATTAGAAAAATAACGTTACATTTCCACAAAACGCTAACGTTGGGGGTATATAGGTATGAGCTCCTATAACGTTAACGTTTAACGTTCACGTTATATAGAATATATCCAAACGTTATACATTATTGTAACGTAACTACAAAAACGTACATTTTACGGTACGTTACACTATCGTTGACATCTCTAGTACCCAGCGTTTCATAGGCCTATTTTACCTTTTCCACTAGCTTAGTTTGGTGTGATTATGCAGTGATATATTTGTTCTGCAATTTTCTGATTATGATGGTAAATTATTGATTAGTGATGAAAGTATAGGAATAGGATTTGTAGGATTAAATCAACTTATTGTATTAATTTAGGCTTTAATGTTGAATTACATTCTGGTTTAATAGAATTTTCGTTCAAAATATCAAATTATTTTAATTTAAAGGGACTGTGTGCGTAATTTCAAGCTCTTCGCCATATATATTTGTTTGTGAATATGTTAGCTATAAGCTGACCAAACGGCTGGACCGAATGGGCTGAAATTTTTTGAGGGAACCCTTGATTACCCTGGGGGTAACATAGGCTAAAACAAATTCGAAATAATTTTTTTTTCTTCCAGTAATTTTTTTTCAAAGTAAAAAATAATTCCAAGGGCAACGCCGGGCACTTCGACAAGTTATTATTTAATTTCTCCAATGTTTGTTTTAAAGAAGAAATGCGCAAATAATTCTTGCAGAGAACCCGCAAGTTAAAATGAACAGTTTAAAAACATAAGATGTAAAAATTAGTTCAAAGTTTATCTAACAAAGTTTTTTAAGTATACGCAGTACGGACCGTTGTAAATCGGTCAATAGCATCTTTATGGAGGGTCGCTTGAAATTATGCTTGCAGTTTCTTTTACTCATAAAAGGGACAGACCGGCTATGTAAGGTAGTTGAACTGAGTATGCAGTGTTGTGGAAAGCTTCTTTAGGATTCATTAGAAACATATAACACTTTTTAAAGATCTGTAAATCCTGAATTTGAGCGCAAATTCGCCGTTCAAAACTCCTACTTTGGGGGTGGATACGCTTTCAGAATTAGTTTTTTTTAATTATTAAATAACGACAACGAAAAATAAAGTAAAAATTATACAGTAATCTAATTAGATGGTTAGGATTGGGAACATATTTCTCAAAAGAAATTTGTCACTAAAACAATGCCAGAATCAATTATTTCGTTTTCATCATTATATTGGATTTCTTATTTTCTTTGAATTTATTCGCAAATTTCTTCAAATTCTTCAAATGTCGTCTTTTCAATAATAATTCCAGAAAATCTGCAGAAAATCATTGTGAATAAGGAGAAACCAGGATAACGAGAAGATAGAAACTAATAATTGAACAAGATTACTTATTTTCGATGATATGATTAATTTTTATTTTCTCAACCTGTTCCTAAACAACTAATTAGTTTACTGTAAATTTTTTTTACATTTTATGTCGTCGTTATTTGATAATTTAAAAAAAAAATAATTCTGAAAACGTTTTGAACGTCGAATTTGCGCTCAAACTCAGGATTTACAGTTCTTTAAAAAGTTTTATATGTCTCAAATGAATCCTAAAGAAATTATCCACAACACTGCATACTCAGTTCAACTATCTTACTTAGCCGGTCTGTCCCTTTAATTATGAAAAAATGTTACTGGATTCAAATATGGTATCTCTAAAAACATTTAACTTGTGGACAAGTTTAATAACCATTTCTAATCTTTGATATTAAGAATGTAGAATTATAAGTGGGGCTAAATTTGCAAATATAAAGTAATACTGGGCTTTTTAAAAAATGATCAAGCAGTTAATTAATGATGTAAATGTTTTCACGCATTTTTTTGCAGAGAGAAAACAGGATAACCTTCAAAAATCTTCCATCAATGGTAAGTATATCAAAATATATTCTAGTGCACTTTGCCTTTTCCCGGGGGGGGGGGGGGTTTTTTAACTTATTTTCAACAATTTTACAAATGTGTGAAGTACGCTTTTAATAAGGAAGCACCACAACAAAATGGCGGTCTTACATTTTTTTCTCTAAATTTTGCTTAATATATATATTTTCTCCTCTGTGTCTAAAACAGTGAAGTCAGATTGCTAATTTACTGCAGAGCATATTTTGTCATAATATTATCTATTTTTCACATAATATTATCTACAGGGTGTCCCAATAAACATGGGAATTGACTGACGATTTCGATATCGTCTTTTGAAATAATTCTTAGATTTAGTTTAATGATACCTACTGAGAAAGCTATAATTTGTAGGACTTTATCCTCCTCTCCTATGTTTACAATTTGTTTTTATGTTTTGACTGAACCTGACGGTTGGATACTTAGGAAAAAAAATACAATTTACAGTATACGACACAGTTATAAACTTGTCAATCTTCACTATTCATCTTGCAGAGAGAAATTACAGACATATAAAACAGCATTTTACCGTTTTTATAAAATAAACTATATACAGACATGATATAGACTATGGCTTTCGAAATCAGGTATTACAATGCTAATTCTTAACAAAGACGATCTCGAATTCGTCATTCAATTCCCATGTTTACTGGGACACCCTGTGTGTAGGATGACAGTTCTGATGAAATTGAACCAATTGAATTGCGGTAATAAAAATATTTTTAATGTTTCCAAATTTTTACCTCAAAGATCTTGTAAGATTTAAACATTTGAAAATGTATTCGAAAAAAAATTGATCAAAAACAATTTTTGCAGTCAATTTTTTTTATTTTTGACCTTTTTTCAGTGGCAACAATGATGCAGAGAAGAAAAGTGAAAGTGTCAGGGAAACAGTTTAAAGCATTGTTTTATTATTTATCTATTTACACTAGGCTTTTAGAGCTCTCCGCTCCCCTTTCCTATTATCAATTGTAGCTTTAAACTCTGAAAGTAGCCGTTTAAAATCCTTCTCAAAATTTCGTGGATTTTTTTGTTTTCTTTGGTGCATTTTCAAAAAAAAATTTGACTTTTATTTCGGACTTTCCTCTTAAGAGCGGTCAAAAGAGCTTCCTTGAAAATTTTGAGCCCGATCGGTTCAGGCGATTTTAGGTTTATTGGATACAGATAAACAAACTAACATACAGAAAGACGGACAAGCAACGAATAAAGAAAAAAAAGAAAATTTTGTCAAATCTGCAAGTTGTTTTCGTGAAAAAAGCACATTGATAGAAAACTAAACTAAATGCACTTGTATATATATATATATTTAAATATTCAATCATCTAAAATGTATTTAAACTGAAAAAAGTTGAAAATACTATATATATATACTACAAGTACATTTATAAAGATAAAAAGTGTATAAAGTGTAAAATAATCCTTCTTTTTAATATAAAAATAATAATATGCCTTAAACTAATGTTTTTTTAAGGATTTCATCAAGAGGTAAGATCATATCAAAATTGAATTTAATCTTTTTTAAATAACAAAAATACTTTAATAAAAATAAAATTTAAGGAATTATTATGAGAATATTTTTATTTTGATTAAGAAAAAATAAAAATCTTGATTGATTATGTTATTTTTCGAGCAATAAAAATTCCCGCATTATTATGTGAATTACATGGGACATCAAACTTATTAACAAATTAAATCCCCATTTATGCCCATTAGAATATTTTTCATATAATAGAAATTACTATAAATTATTTAAAAACCGTTTGCTTCAAATAAATTTTCGGATATAGCTGTTAGATGTCATTGAACTTTTAAACAATTAAACCAAGAAACAGCTTTTGAATTTCATGTTTATAAATCTAAAAATCTAATTATTTTTTTTATAAAGTTGTGAGTGCCTATGAACCCTGTCCAACAGAAACTGGATTTAAGACGTTATCTTCTCTCATTGTTCTGAAGGTGGCATATACAGTGAGAACCAGAAAACTGTGGAATAGGAAGACGACTTTACAGTGAAACTTAAGTGCATTTCATGTAGTTACAAAGCAAATAGTTTTATTAGAGACTTATTAACTTATTAACTCACTTGTCTCGTGAATCTGGTAAAACTGCACAATTGCTGTGTCTCATGTTCACTGGACTAATTAAAGTCATAACTTGCGTTTAAAAGTCGTCTTCTTAATTTAAGAGTTTTTTGGTGTTCACTGTAAATACAAATTTTTTTGATAAGAAAAACTGTTTTTGTTTTCCTGTTTCCTGAGTGAAAATATTAAAAAAACACAAAAAATCACGTCAAACTAATATATTATTTCTGTATAAGGTGTTGATATTAGATATTGGACTATCCTTAGTGGACGTGGTTTCCGACTTTATGCAGGTTAGGCTTGTGTCACTGGACAAACCAGGACTAGAACTGTTAAACTTGGTGACTGGACAAACCAGGACTAGAACTGTTAAACTTGGTGACTGGACAAACCAGGACTAGAAGTGTTTCTTTCAATTTGAATTCAATTCCGTTTCAATCTATTATTTAACAATCAAGAGTTCTTTTCTTGTACTTTTTTCACTTCCGATAAAAAACTTTAGATCGTTTTTAAAGGGGCTGTTCTCTCATTTTGATAATTTTTATGGTAAACTAAACAGCCTATTCGCTGTTGATTTGTATTAGTATTACTTTTCAAATACAACTGTGGCCGGAGAAAAGCCGATTTATCGTTTAGAATTCGAGGGCAAAGGTATGGTACCTTTTTTCTCACCCTGTAGTTATCACTAATGTCTAATACGCATCAAAGTAATACAAATAATAAAAAGAAATGTTTGTTTACAAACATTTGTAAAAAGTTTTTTTTTTTTAAATAAAAGATGAACAAAAAGAGTAATAAAATAGTCACAGTTTTTCTAGAACTCTCAAGTGTTAAATATTTATTATATAAATTACGAAGGAAATTACTTGAAAATCTAAGAAAATCTATTCAATAAATGTCAGATTCATATTTGAAATTCTGAGCGTATGACTTACTTAATGATTTGGAAAAGAAAGCAATAAGTTTATAGTTGCAGGGAATCATGAATACAAATTATGTAATGTCGTCTCTGACGTCTCATGACAACTTACAATTTTAGTTTTATAACAAGCTGTTAAATTGAGAGGAAACCCTTTTTTATGTGGAGGGGGGGGGGGAGGTTTTACTCCGAAATTAAATCTCAATCCGCTGGGTGGAATATTAAGTCTTATATCATATCATGGATGTGTCCCAACAGTATTTAACCGGGTTATATATATTCTGATACAAAACAATAAAGAAGCATATTTCATTTGACATTATTCGGTTTGTTTTACGAAAAAACATGTTTGTAAAAACAAATTTTTTTCGCTAATTGACAGCCTTCCTTTATTTACTGTATTTGCTTGTACTGAGCGAGTCAAATGATATTGGATTATCTGCAAGCTTTAACGCAAAAATAAGCAAATAACCTAGTATTTTTACAAGCGAATTTTTATATTAAACAGTTAACCACAGTTAATTACAGTTAACCACAGTTAACCAAAATTAACCAATGTTAACCACAGTTAACTAGTTTAAGTAGTTAGCCGGACACTTATGATATTTTCTTTTTCCCCAAATTGATGTCAAACAAATAAAGTCCAGAATTATTTACCCGACAACTTCCCCATCGGTACATAAAGTCAGTTAAAATGTTTCCAGAGCTGAAAACTTTAGAATGTGATATCCTTAATCCCGATCTGTTAATTAATCTGGAGAATAAGTTAATGAGGAGTATAAGCAATATTTAATCTGGAGATTAAGAAAAAGAGTGGATTAAGCATTAATCCTGATATCCACCATTCCAAAGTTTTCAGCTCTGGGCTTTTAATGGCTAGAATATGCGACATTTAATGCAAGGCGTTCCATTGTGTTCAACTGGAGTACATTAGCTGGCATCTATATTCAGGGATATTTTAGGATCCTTTGAATACAAATTACAAAACCTTCAAAAATAGACTGAATTCATAAATGTTAAGTTTTATGCTAAAAGTTATAGTATTTCTTTAAAAATTGTAAATCTTAACCCTTGATTGCATGGCTATTATATTTAACAAATTGCAGTTAGACGGCGGTCAAAAACCTTTTGTAGGAATCATAGCATGTCATGAAAGTACACCTATATAGGCCTACTAAGCCCAGCCCATGAAAGCTGATTAGCAGTTCTTTAAATATCTAAGTCTGTGGTTAAAGTCTACTCCTACTGTACAATAAAATCTATTCTTACTTGACATATTTACTGTATATAGAGTTACAGGTTAAAGGTTACTTTGTACTCCTACTGTACACATTTATTGTATATGGGGGTTACAGTCAACTGCAACTGTCCATATATATGTTAGAGGTTACTGTGTACTCCTACTGTACATATTTACTGTATATTGGGTTACAGTTTACTGCTACTGTACATACAGGGTGTCCCACGAAACATGACATTTAAAAAATCGTTATTTTTAGTTAAAACATCCTTTTGCTTCATCATCTTTTACTTTGAAATCAATTTTAATATAACATGACTCCCATATAATATTTTTATTGATCTTTGGTACCAAACAACTCAAAAAATTATGAAAAAAGACATTCTAAACTATTTACCAACTATCATGTTTCGTGGGACACCCTGTATTTATGTTAAAGGTTACTTTATACTCCTACTGTACATATTTACTGTGTATGGGGTTACAGTATACTGCTACTGTACATATGCATATCTATTAAAGGTTACTGTGTACTCCTGTTGAATATGAATGTGCAAGGAAAATCTTTACGTATTGTGATGCTTGATAATCTGTCTCAAACTGCGCACAGTATTGCAGGTATGCTTTTAACCAGGGAATCCGGAATTAATGTATCCCTGCAAACATTTAGTCTCCGACAAACCGACGTTGAAAATCTTTGCCATTGGTACATATATATATATATTATATATAGTCGGATTAAATGTTTCCTAGAATATATATAAACAGGCGCATATACAGGAGGGGGGCAGTAGTCCTCTTGCCCTCCCCCTCCTTGAGATTTATGGGCAAATGTTAAAATCAGGTGTGCTAGGGAAAATTGATCTTGCCCCCATCTGGAAAGGGGTGTTTCCCAACTTAGTTGCTGTTGTTGAAAAGTAGTGAAAAAATGTTCTTGGCACTTTTCTTGATAAACAATTAGAGCTATATGCTTTATGCAAGTGTTTGGCATTTATTCCCACAACCCCAATGAAGGCCAGGGGTAGATAACATTTGTTGGGGGTGAATAAAGAGGGCAGAAGACTAATGATATTCTTCAGGAGACAGCTACTCAGGATGTTAGAAAGTAATATATAGCTTTACAGAGGGATGCATTATAATAAAAAGTCCTTGAATCAGGACTAGATTGGGCGACAAAGGAGTAGTTTCAGAACACTACTTAGGACTTCAGAGAGTAATACTGAACCATACAAAGTGATACATTATACTCACATACACGCATACTTTAAATTGGGACTGCCATCGGCTACATAGGGGACATGTGGTAGCTAGAATTAATATAGAATAACAGCACTTTTAAGGTTAGACGGGGGGGGGAACATTTTTGCACCCCCCTGGCTAAAATTCTGTATATGTGCCTGCATTTGAAGATGATTTCACTATTACAATGTTAGAACCTCTTGTTGGTGATATCAAACTATTAAAAGTATTTTAAAATAACAAATATTTTGTACAAATTTACAAAAGTATTGAAGGGATATTGCACAAATTTAAAAAACCCCAAATATCTATTCACAAATCTGAACAACGGATGTCTCCTATTATCATGTGTTCTGTAGTTTAATACTGCAAATAAATTGTTTTTTAGCAGTTTGATTTCTTTAAAATCATACTAGTTTGGAAAAAAAAGAAATTGAAATTCCAAACTTGCCACTATTTAGGGTGTATAGATGCAGACCCCTATTCTATTATTATTTAGGGTGTATAGAGGCCCCAATTCAACTGTTATTAACCATATACCTGATTTTGCTGGGACTTCTTGAAGTCCCAAGCTTTCTGGCATTGGATTATGGGAAAGACCAGTGAGATTTTTAATAATTTATAATGATAATAAAATCTTGATTTTTTTATTACCCCTTTAATATATTATTTTGATTAATTTTATTTTGATTTATTCTTAATTTGATGTTTAGGTTTGAAAATGTGTTCGCTACATTCAATATCCCGATGTTTTCTATGGCCTTTTCTTTCATCAATATTCTCTTCTGCTCAACCAAAGTCAACATTTTCAATGTTTACATTGTTCAACTGCGAAGATTGGCTGATCTCAAATTGTACGTCTCACTTTGTGTTGGATATTTGCCTTTTTTCCTGCACTCAATAATGTTCAGGGTTTTTGCATTTACCTTTTTGCTCATATACCTTAGTCAATGGTCAGCTATACCATTACTAGCAATATTTTTCAGCAATTTGATCATTGGATACATTTTCAAGGGAGAAAGTCAATTTGAGAGGCTAATCAATGACAAATATAAGCTGTACAGCACTAAAAATCCAAATTCTATAGGTTTGGAACAAAAGCTTTTATCAAACCCCGGTGAAGACACTCCAATTTGGTTAAACAGCTTTCTAGGTATGTTTGTGCCATCTTGCTCAATGATGGGAGTATTGCCAGAGATCATGGATCAACTTGATGAAGAGCAAAAAAGTCGAGTACTATCAGAGCAATCTCGATCACAAAAGAAGATTTTGCGATACCAAGTGTTCATAACAACCAGCATTATTTTAACAAGTCTGTCAGTGATTTATTACTTGGTCAACTACTCTGAGTTTGGATATAATTCAAACATTTTAACATTTATAGATTTTAACATTTGTTCAGCTCTTATTTTGGTTCAGGCAATGATTTCCATACTTTTTCTCCCTGAACTTGATGTTCTGAAACTGCTGAAACTTACTGACTTCAGCCAGAAGTTAGATCAGGGATTATGCAAGAAGATTTTAGTAGGACTTCTATTTTCTTTGGCTATATTCATTCCTCCTATCATAGCTTTTGTTTCTTCATTCTACTTAACTCTTCCAAATGTTTATCTCATATCAAAATTTGAAGCAACAAATCAAGTCAATATTGAAGTTACAAAATCCGTTCTTATCAATAATAAATTCAATGTTGTACAAACAATAGCAGAAACATATACATGCGACAAGCAAGGAACTATCCCTGCTAAAAAGTTTCTGATACTTCTTCCATCATGTTACCAGAAAGAAATTTATGGTGCAAGTTTAAATGATATGGAACAAATGGAGGATAAGTTTGGAGGTATTATGGGGCTAATCTTTCTTGATGAAAACAAGTACAGTGCAAGTGCATTACCATGGAAGTTCTCTTTATTTAGAGAGATTACTAAATTTCCAGTCCTTCTTGTAAACTTTCATGATAAAGCCCGTTTGCTGGATAGAAGCGGAAATAAGACCGAACTTGATGTCAAGGATTTGTATGAATCGTTATCTAATATATCCTCCCATCTTTACTCTATTAAATGCCAAAACCTTACCTCCGACTCTTCTGTTAACCTCTACTCTAGCAAAGGCCTTTATTTGGGGTGTAATGGGTTTCCTAAACTAAATATTCCTTTCAACCTTACTTGCAGAGACAAAGGGCGAGAATGTCCTGAACAAGATTCCTATGAGAAAACATTTTCTATTTTTAACCCATTTGAAGAATGTGATAGAAAAGAAGGAAGAACTTCCCAAATATATCCTGGCCTGACCTGTACAAACTTGCCAATTCTTTGGAAGAAACCAACTTTTCTTCGGGGTGACGATTCTTTGTATGGAGAACCTCAATGTATTTACAATGGAAATAATGTATATTTTTCAAAGGTAGAACTCTAATTCAAAATAAACAAAAAACAATTAACCATTAAAATTAGATCTGAACATTTATCAAAAAGACTTTTTTGGAATGAAAAGCTAATCTAAATCAACAAGTAACTTTCAAGATATGTGTGGGTGGGAATTATTAGTTTTTAAATAAGAAAAACAAAGATAACTTTATTATAAAAACAGGTAACATGAATTTTTTTAATTAATAAGGTCTCAGTTAAAATTGAGTTAAAAAGTTCTAAATTGTAATTCATTTACATTGTACAGGACAACAGCCAGTGTAATAAACAAAAGTTTAGTAGCACTTTATTGGGTGATTGGATAGTGGATACTGAGTGCTCGAAGAGTGAAACAGGAGTAAAATACAGGTAAATCACTGAAACCAATCGATAAATTTTACAAACTACTGATCATGAATAATGTTAAAATTTTAAAAAAAGTTTTAGATTTATAACAATCAATATAGTTGGTCTTGGTGTAAGGTGAACACATTTAAGTAAATTAATTACCTCACATGTGTTTTAAGACAAATTGAGAACCTTATTTCCAAAATTTTCAACACAAAAGCATTATTCATGCCTAACTTTGTGGTATTCTTATTTAAATATTGTATAGAACAACTAGCCATTTTTTTCAGAATTTCTTTCTTGATTATACAAATTATTATATTTTTGATAGGTTTGCACGATTATCAGATCTATGTGTAATGATGGAAGTTGAATTGCTGAGAAGGAATTCATGTGTTCAAGAAGACCCTATAGATATTACAAACTGCGATGGTGGAAGGATGGAGGTCCCTTAGAACATTCTTATTTACTCCTGTTCAAATTTTGATTCTTATGTTTGTAAAGGGGTTTGTATCATGATGGTGGAGAATTCAAACAAGAAATAGTTATGTAAATAAATACAATAAAATATACACTGATAAACAAAATTCTGCGTTATGATATTTTTTTTTTGGGGGGGGGGGGCTGTGACTCCAAAAAATCTAACAAACAGGGAGATAAATTTATAAGAACTGCTAGCTAAAGGGCCTGGCATTGCCAATGAGGAAAAAAAAATTTGGAAAAAAATGTTGAACTTTTTTTAGCACCCCTGGCCACCCCTGATTGTCCACAAAAATTTCAGCCCAATCAGTCCAGCCATTTAGCTGGCTATAGGCAACATATATATATATAAATGTCTTGTAGAAGATATGATTCCGCCAGATTTCTAAATTTATTTCAAGACAGTCAAACATTCTAGAACAGTTCTATCATTCAAATATTGTTCCAACAGAATAATCCTGAAATCCTCAGACAATTTTGAAATTGTTGAACAGTTCTGATATTTTGGAAAAGACATTGACAACATCCTGGGACAGTCCTAACATCAAGGGACAGTTCCAACATTCTGGGATAATCCCAACATTCTGGGACAGTCCCAACATCCTGGGACAGTCCCAACATCCAGAAAGAGTCCCAACATCCAGAAAGAGTCCATAATTCTTCCTGGGATAGTTCCAAAATTCTGGGACAGTCTCAACATTCTAGAACATTCCCAACATCCTGCGACAGTCTGAACATCCTGGGACAGTCCCAATATCCTGGGATAGTCCAAAAATCCTAGGACAATTACAACATCCCAGGATAGTCCCAACATTCTAGACAGTCCCAACATCCCAGGACAGCCTCAAAATTTTACATTAGTCCCAACATCCTGGGACAGTCTCAACATAATGGGACAGTCCCAACATTTTTGGACAATCCAATCACACAACAGACAACCTGGTGACTGAGACAGAAAATTATATTTCATTCTAATTAATGGTATTACTAGATATTTTGAAATTTTTTATGGAATATAAAACTCATGATAAAATAAATTAAATCTTCATTCTTGATAATTGCTTTATGAAGAAATTATAAATTGACAATCATTTAGATAGAGAACAAAGCTGCTGCAAAACTCATGATTTTTTATTAGATTTTATGATGACTAAGAAAGTTCTCCTAGAAACTACAGGGTGTTAAAAATTTGTAGTGGTAGTTAGAGGCTAGAGCATCAATATAAGAAATTTTGATGATTCAATCGTTAAAGTGAGAGTACCCATGGACTGGCTAGACATGGTAGTTAAATTAGAGCACAGTATTTCAGAATATTTTAGGATTAATTTGAGACAGTGTTCAGCAAGATCACAAATATGATCTTTAAGGCAAGGCGGCCATTAGCCAAAACTGTTTTCTCTTCCATGCCACGTATTAGCTTTTTATCTTCCAGCAGCCATGAGCCACAACCATCCTGTCTTCCGGGAATTATTATGTATTTAAATGATAAATTTAGTGCATCCAAATTGCTATTTTTATCCATTCGATATACGCAAAGACGATACTTGAGGAAATTTTTAAAGTTTGTTCACTGATCAATGAATTTAGTGTTCAGTTGATAAACTACTTTACATTTTACAAAGAAAATTTGTACATCATTTTACGCATTGTGGGTCCACGGATGACCAATTTTAAAGAATAGATCTGTATTATAGCATTTCTCATTTCAATTTTTATTGTGAGCGCTAATACATGTTTAGCCCATTATCTCTTAAACTCTATTTTACAATCTCTGCTGATTTTTGAAATCCCTACATAGCTAAAAAAAATTATTGAATTTATCGTGTGTTAATACAGCATTTTTGACCGTTTTTGGGCTTAACTCATTTATTTTTAATATTTTTAAAAACTCCAACGGATCTGAGTTTCCTGATCAAAAACGAATAAATTGATATAAAACATAATAATTTCATTACATTTTTTTACTTTTTTTATCAGTTTTTTAAAAGTTAGTAATTATTTGTGGACGCCTTTGAGGTTACTAGGGTTTCCCACCGAACAAAACCTTTTATGAAAAATGCAAAAATTTTCTTTTGTGTTTTGCAACTTTTTCGCGAAAATAAAGAAGAAAAACTTCTCGAAAAACCGGGCAGAATCTCCGCCTTTCTTCCACCTTCCATGTGGTGGATGGATCTTCTTCTTTTCGATTCTTTGTGCGCCATGTAACTAGTATGAACTCAATAGCTTGAAAAAAGGATAGTTCCATTGATGTAACCCCTTCTGAGCCCGCGATTTAAAAGCTTCGGCTCGAGTCTTAATTCCTTAAACGCAGCTTTAAGACCCAATCTTAGACCCAACTCTGACGACAGCTTGTGTCACGTGATTGACAGCTGCGAGATCTTAGGCTCGACTTAAGGAGTTAGGCCCAATGAAAATAAAATCCATTAGCCAAAACTGTTTTCTCTTCCATGCCACATATTAGCTTTTTTATCTACCCTTTCAGTCCTCATAGAGCTAAGCTCAGATTGAAAGTAGTCTGGCCTATAAGCATGACAGCTTATTAGCTCTTTTATTTATAGCTATAGGTCAGACAGAAAGTGGGGCGGTTGATAACTCGCCTTGTGTTTAGTGTATTGAGATAGTTGTCTGATAAAAGACGCCATCCAGAAGGCAGAAATTATGCTTTCAATGCATGGAAAATCCAAGCTGCCATTAAGCGCTTAATTTAAACTCAGGCCAATTCAGGCCTACAGGCTTAGACACATGATGGAGCAGGCCGGAAATAATGGTTGCCAGGCTAAAACCGAAATAGAGTTCGTAATTACGAAGAGCGGAAAAGAAGAAGGTCTCTCTGCCACATGGGGCGGAAGAAAGCTGGAGTCTGCCCGAGAGCTCCGACTTCATTCAAATCATTAGTATTAAACATTATCTGTTTTTATGCTGTAAATACATTTTTTTCCAATACTCTGTAGACTTATTCACATCAGTTTCAGGCTTTAATTTTGATTGGTAACAGAATGTTTTGATGCATAATTTTTATGTTTCATAATGCTTTTGCTCTTAAAAATAAGTCATTTTTGACCCACTTTCAGTTGTCAGATTTTGATATTACGGAACGGATTGCACAAGTTTTGCAAAGAAATTGTTGCAAATTATTTGCACAATTTAAATTTTTCTTAACTGCACAGCAGGTTATTCAAAGTTTTGCAAGATATCAAGGGCTTTTCAAAAATGTGTATTTTATCATTTTTGGCATTTTTGTTTGCAAACATTTTTACTTTATAACTTTATTCAATTTTTGGTAATTTGCAACTTTTTTGCAGATTCTAAAAGTATTGCATAAGAGCTTTCCAATGATGTATCATTTGTCATATTTGGACATCGAGCATGGGATTTAGAGGGGGGGGGGCCTGGGATTAACCCTCTTTTTAAGTTCCTGAGTAGGGATAGGGTTAAAATTGTTCCAAAACGCTTAACAATACTCTGTGCTAAATTTTTGTTTTAGAATTACATCAGACTTAAATACCGTTTGAGTTAGTTATATCTAAAAGAGTTATTGTTTGTTAATTCTCACAAAAATCAATCATGCAATGAGTAAAAAGTTGTATTTTTTTATATTTATTCCAACTTCCGACGGAGCAAATATAATTATTATCTATCTAATTACCGCATGAATTACAATAATAAAACAATCACAAGTATTGAGATTTCACATTTTAAGTTCAATAACATTTTCTAATCCATCTGTAAGATCTTGTTTTTTTATTCGGGATAAAGTGCAAATAACAAAAGAATTTCTAAACTGAAACATTTTTAATATTTTGAAAAGTTTTCAATATTTTGAAATTTTTATAACTCTTTTTAAAAAATTTGAATCCATTTTATAAATTCAATAATTTTTCATTTCAGTGATAATTTCCTTGACAATGTGGGGCTCAATCACATTTTCTGTATTAAAGGGACTGCATATCCTATACCCCCTTTCATTTTTCCTTTACAGTCCCTTTAAGGAGATGAATTAGATTCTATTTTTTAAGAAAATACATAGGTTTGAAAAACTTCTAAATTAAATACAGATATCTACATATTACCACAGTATCACAAGCATTTGATTCTTTTTAGCTTTTCCAATTAGATATTTTGTAATTTTGTAACAAGGTAACTAGAGTTTTCTTTTAATTTTTTTTTACAGCTAAACACTTTCAAGATAATTAAAATCACATTTTGTAAATCACATATTAGAATTATCTTTATATTTTTGTGTCTTGTTCTTGTATCAGAACTTAAGTTTTTATATCATCTAAAATCTTGTCCAATTTAATTAAAGTGTACAAATATTTGTGATAACACGAATTTACATACATAAATAAACATATTATTACAACACAAGCTGAAGTTAAAAAGATTTTTTTAGACTCTTTCAAAATTTTAAAAATTTAATGACGATCGAATTTTGATAGAGACAAATATTTGAAATTTTGATTTTTCATAAACCTTCCCTGGGGTCCCTAGATGTCCCACAAAAAATTTGGGCCCGATCGGTTCAGCCGTTTTGACGTTTATTGGATACAAACAAACAATGTTAAATACTTGTTTATAGGTTTCAAGTTTAGATTGCTGCAACCTCTCTTTATATGGTTCTGTTGTTCATAGAGTTTTGGGGTAAGGACTGCGTATACACCTTGGAATTTAGAAAGCCCTGAGCCCGAAATTTAAAAGAGTATCGTTGAACGAAACTACCTAGTTTCATTTTTGGGGTCTCAACGTACATTTGTGTGGATTTTGATAAAAGAGATTCGAAAAAAATGGAGAATTTCAAGAAACCAAATAAAAAAATATATATTATAACAAAAATATTAATATCAACAAAACTGCCTAACCCCTTTCGTGAAACCCGGGTTACAAAACTTGTTTTCATACGATACCAAGCCTTAAGTTTTGGACTCAGAAGAAAAATCTAAGGGTGGGGTTCATATATATGATTTTTGTTTGTTTCGTATACAATATTGGTTAGCTGAAGTTAAGGGAGAGATCTTTGAATATTCGACATAGTTTTACATCAAACAGAAGAATCGAAAGACAAAAGCTTACACAAACGACCCCTTCTAAGATTAAAAACAATATTTGAGCACATTTTCAAGCCATTAAAAAAGATTAAAAGGGCTGAAAAACGCTTATTACTGTTTTATATATATGCTGCTGAAGAATGTCCAACAAGAAACACAGTGTCCAGCAATAACCAATCTTTACAAACAATAGAACATGTTCTAGAACTAATTTAAGAAGATACATATATATATATTATATAACTGAAAGGGAATTGAAACCTCCCGGGAAAAATATCAACCAATCAGATTGCGGGAATTAATGAGATGTTCTGTTTCGTAATTTCAATAACTGCAGTGCAGACCACTAACAAAATATATTTCGGATTACAAGATGTATATAGTTATTCAAGATTACAAGAACTGGGGAAAAGATGTATTAATTTAAATCGTCAGAATCAGATCAATTCATTTTCATGCATTGAAATATCGCAAAATTGAATGCGAGTATTCCTGGGTTTAAATTTTAACTCACCAAAATCGACGAGTTAAATATTTTAAAATTCAGGTTTAAAATATAGTCAGAAGTGGTCGTAACTTTTTGATCTTTAGTTTTGGACTCATCTTCGTCTGCAAACCTGTCATCTTTGTTCCGATACAATTGGATCACTGCACAATAATCACACGATCATTTGGTAATGTTCCTCTCTCATTTTAGTTGTCATATATAGTCTGTGTACACCCTAGCTTCCATACACTCGCGCAATCTACAGTCGATAAAATAACGTCTTTTGACCTGTGTGACATTGCAATCAGGATTATTGAATGCAATCTAGGCAAAATTCTGTTAACGAAACGGAGGTATTCGAAAATGAACGGAAGAGTTCGATAACGAATGGCAAAAACCGTTAAGTTTAAGTCATTAACAAAGCGGATTAGCTGTTTTTGAAAAAAAGAATTATGGTGGAAAACAAAAAAGGGGTGAATTTCTTGTAGAAAAAAACATTTCTTGTGTTTTAAGGTATTTAAATGTCATTTTCCGTGTTCACAACCGTTAATGGTTTTATAAACCGTTAACAAATTTTTTTAAATTCTGTAATAACGGCACTGTTAACTGCTGGAGCTGTTAACGGTTGTTAAACATTTTCTGTAAAGCCATTAATAAAATTGAGATCGTTAACTAACGGTGACTTTTAAAAAACGGATAATACCATTAACGAAACAAAGTTTTGTAATTACCCTTTAAAACTAACTGCAACCTATATTATCTTAAAAACGGTTGGAACCAACAGTTAACAAAACCACTTGAAAAAGTAGGAACATGTCCAGCCTACATACGTTCCATTGCAATCCAGATCAGATAACTTCGATTGCGATTTGGATTGTTATAATAACGTCTTTAGACCTCTGTGCCATTGCAATCAGAATCATTTAGTGCAATCTGGGTTGATAAAACAACGTCTTTAGAGTTACTGCGATTAGCTTCACTGAGTGTAATATGGGTTTCCATGTTAACGGGAGTATCAGTTCCAGCTTCAGGATCTGGAGTTTCGCTGTGTGGATTGCTGCGTCTGCAACTACAGATACATTTGTTTATTAAATCTTTCAGTACTATCAGTGGAGTGTGGAAAGGCAAGGGGCCATTAGCCACAACATTTTCCACTTCCATGCCACATATTCGTTTTTTTGTCTTCTGGCAGCCATGAGCCACATATGTACGGTCTTCCATGCCACAGCATTTGAATCTTCCGGCAGTTATTACGTTTTTAAATAATAAATTTAGTGCATTGAATTTGTGATTTTCAAAATTTCAGCGATTTCATGCAAAAGATATACATAAAGAACTTTATATTTAAGTTTTAAATCAAAATAATGAGGATTCCTTTTAGTGTAAACTGCTAAACTTATTTTCCCCAGAAATAAACTCAATCTTTCCTCTAAAATGGCTTATTTTTGAAAACGTTATGAACAATAAAATTTTAAAGAGATTTTTTTGTCCCCAGGACATGATCGGGTTGTTACGATCAAATCTCGGAATTTTTTCTATTGCGAAAGTTTTGGTGTTTTCTGGGTTTTTATATTGATCTACTAGGGGTTGTAATCTGGCAGCACATTCATCCATCCACGCTTCATTCATTCTGAGAAGAGGTTTGACAAGATTCCAGCTGCCTAAGATTCTTCTTAGGCCTGAGAATATAGAGTGCAGGAATCCTTCTGATATACTGGAATGAGGCCCGGGTGCCGTACTGATAGGAAACATCACACTCATTGCTCCCTAACATTGCCCATAACCGAAAAGTTGCACAATTTAACGAGAAAATTGCTAATTAGAATTTATTTTTGAAGGAAATCTGTAACGCTCAGGTAGCAACTGCAGTTGTGAGTTTTTCTTTAAACTACATCAAACAATTTGCAAAATATAAAGCAGTTTATACACTGAACACACAATTAATTAATCTTTAATTAACTTTAAACTTTTTTTCAAAGGTATCATCTTTAGTGTAATTAGGCAGAATTTAAAAAAATTGCAATTTAAATACCGTAAATTTATCATTCAGATACGTAATAACTGTCGGAAGACTCAAATGCTGAGGCATGGAAGACCCTACGGTTATGGCTCATAGCTGCCAGAGACAAAAAAGATAATGTGTGGCATGGAAAGGGAAAATGTTGTGGGTTATGGCAGCCTGCCTTTCCCCGCTCATCAGGTTTTAATCTTTAAGGTTATTATGAATGGCTTTTAATCTAGAAAAACTTTGAACTATTTGACAATGTAACTTCAATAATTCAAAAAATAAGTTACACGACCATAATTTTGGTAGATTTTCTTTTTTACCTTTAAAAAGACAAACACATAAAAAAACATGAAAAAAACCTCATCAGAAACCCATAAGTTTTACCTGTAGATCAAGGATTTTAACCCCTCCTGAAAATGATTATTAAGCCCAGCATAGAACCAAAAATTCAGGTTGGAGTTCAGGATCTGCAGCATGTTGTTCACACTAAACATACAAGCTGAATACACTGGATCCAGTTTCGTACTGGTTTATACTAGTTTATTCAGGATTATACTGATGTATATAGCTTTATACTAGTTTAAATAGCTTTATACTGGTTTATATTAGTTTATACAGGGTTATAACATGGTGTATATAGCTTTATACTAGTTTAAACAGGGTTATCTGGTGTATATAGCTTTATACTGGTTTATACTAGTTTATACAGGGTTATACATGGTGTATATAGCTTTCTACTAGTTTATATAGCTTTATACTGGTTTAAATAGCTCCATTCCATAATAATAATAATAGTTTATACAGGGTTATAATGGTTCACGTAGCTTAATACTGTATGCAGGTTTAAATAGTTGTATACTTGCTCAGTATCTAGCTCTATACTGATGGTGGTGTAAATAGCTTTATACTTGTTTATCTTTATAATGTATTCAGGTAGGAAGGCAAGATGACAATGCCATATTTACAACAGTACCTTTATCACCCTCATCTCATCAAACAAAGAAAGACAAAGTCGTGTTTAGACTCGAAAAGTGTTTGTTTGTGTGATTTTTTCCATTGCATCTTATATGCAAGAAATGTGTGCATATCGCTGTCCCAGAGAAACAACAAATGAAAAAATAATTTGCATGGAAGGTCACCTGAAATCACGCTTACAGTGTAAAGGAAACTACAAGGGGTATATAGGATGAAACCTGAGAATCTCAGGTTTTGAACGATACCTATAAGACATCTATCTTATGTTCCTGTCTCGAGAAATTGACATAAAACTGTGTCAAAATTATACCAAAACGGGCATATGCCAGATTTTGTATAAAAGGCGTAGTATTAAATAGATCATATTCAACAATTACGCAACCAATCTGAAAACGATTATGTCCCACAGGAGCCTGAGAATCTCAGGTTTGCTCATATCATAATTTTTGAATACGATCTATTTAATACTACAACTTTTATACAAAATCTGGCATATGCCCGTTTTGGTATAATTTTGACACAGTTTTATGTCAATTTCACGAGACAGGCACATAAGATAGATGTCTTATAGCTATCGTTCAAAACCTGAGATTCTCAGGGTTCATCCTATATACCCCTTTTCATTTTTCCTTAACAGTCCCTTTAAAGGGAGTAACCGGCTAGACTATAGACATGATAGTAAACAGAAATTATTGATGAAAGCCATGGTAGAATCAATAAGTTGAATTAAATGAATTGGCAGATTTCTCTAAATGTTGTTTTTTAAGCTTGAAAACTTTAAAGAAAGTGATGACAGTGCAACAAGCGAAAAAATGTGCATTAACGAGAATTCATCTAATGATATAAAATAGATTGTTTTCAATAATAAGAGTACATTTTTTTTTCTCTAACCTTGCAGGCCATATTATTTTACTGTATAACTTTGTTTCATTTTATTTCGTCGTTATCAAATAATTAATTAAACCCCGATTCTCTAAATGTATACTCTATAAAGGACAATCAAGTAGAATTTAAAAAATATGAATTTTAGCTCATCTTTCTTTATATATACTTGCAATTATATATATATATATATATATTTATACTTTGCTTGTTTTTTTAGTTTTTTTATCCAATTAACGTCAAAACAGCTTAAACGATCGGGCCCAAATTTTGTTTGGGACTTCCCATGTCCCCAGGGAGTTTATATAGAGCATCAAAATTTCAAAAAATTGCCCACAACAAAATTTGATTTTCATTAAATTTAAAAAATTCACAAAGAGAAAATATTCACAGTTGAAATAGAAGATTAGCACGAGCGCCCTAAAAAATCTAGTATTATATGCATCTTGAAAACGTTTCATACTATAATAAGGTATTGGTCTCAAATGCATCTTAAGATATTTCTCTCTAATACTGCACTCGCATCTCTAATAACATGTCTGGCTGTTCACTCCCTGATAGAAATATAAGGAACTGGGCTTTCAGGGCGCTTCGCGCCATCCTCTATTTCAATTGTGAACATTTTTTCTTGTTTACAAAATAAAACAATAAAAGTTCGCGGATTTTGAAATATCCTTTCGAGGGTTTTCAAAATTTTCTGAAAATAAAATTTTGGTGGAAGAAATCTATTCACCTTCCCTGGAGCCATCTGAGGTCCCATACAAAATTAGGGCCCAATCGGTTCAGCCGTTTTGACGTTTATTGGATACAAACAAACAAACAAACACCCAACCAGACAAGCAAAGAATATTCATAGATATGAAAATATAAAATAGCTAAAAATAACCTTTACCTTAACAAACAACGAAACCATTCTGGGTCATCTCTAAATTATAGAAATATTTAAAAATAATTAAAGAGATTTTAAGTTGCATACAGGATGGTTTTGAAAGAATTCGCCTTTTTAATTAATAACCATTAACCACTTATTTTTAATATGACTAGGAATGGAAGTTTTCACTTTTCTGAAAAACTAATCGTTTTTATTCCAACAATAATAATTCTCCTTCCCATTATTTGCTCACACGTTTTTAAAATGCATTTCTCACACCTTTAACATACAGCTGTCAACTGTCTTTTAATTTGCTGCAATAATCAAGTGAAAATTGTGTTGAAACCCTTTTTGCATTGGTTGTTTACAATGCAAGACATGGACAATAAAATAATAAATTTTCAAAAACTTACTCTTCGGCAATAAATCCTTCAGAGATTATCAGGATGTTTCTAAATAACAAAATTATATCAATTCTTTTAAATTTTTCATTTAGTTATTAAGGTTAATACCTGGGGTATGTTTAGTATTAAGTTATATACCTGGGTATATTTAGTTATTAAGGTAAATACCTGGGTATATTTAGTTATTAAGGTAAATACCTGGGTATATTTAGTATTAAGGTAAATACCTGGGTATATTTAGTTATTAAGGAATACCTGGGTATATTTAGCTATTAAGGTAAATACCTGGGTATATTTAGTATTAAGGTAAATACCTGGGTATATTTAGTTATTAAGGTAAATACTTGCAGGGTATATTGAGTTATGAAGGTATATATCTGGGAATATTGAGGGGTATGTTTAGTATTAAGGTTAATACCTGGGTATTTTGAGTTATTAAGGAATACCTGGGTATATTTAGTTATTAAGGTGAATACTTGGGTATATTTAGTTACTAAGGTAAATACCTGGGTATATTTAGTTATTAAGGTAAGTACCTGGGTATATTTAGTTATTAAGGTAAATTCCTGCAGGGTATATTGAGTTATGAAGGTATATATCTGGGAATATTGAGGGGTATGTTTAGTATTAAGGTTAATACCTGGGTATATTGAGTTATTAAGGAATACCTGGGTATATTTAGTTATTAAGGTAAATACCTGGGTACATTTAGATATTAAGGTAAATACCTGGGTATATTTAGTCATGGAGGTATATATCTGGGTATATTTAGTTATTAAGATTTATACCTTGGTAAATTCAGTTATTAAGGATATTACATGGCTATAATAGGTTATTGAGCACTCTTATATGCCAAGACCTTTAGCGTTAAGTATGGCGGTAACATCTATCTTTCTATCTATCTAATATATCCAATTAGAGATATGAATCCTTCAATCGGCGATATCAGTAAATGGAAATATGTACTTTTATACTGAACCCATGGTGTGAGGTATATATCTGGGTTAATTAAGTTATCAAGGTATATACCTGGGTATATTAAGTATAATGAACTCAAGAACGAGGCAGGTTGTGATTCTGGTGATCTGAACTTGGTTGGTTGTTTGATTGGTTCGGGCGTTGAACTCCCTAAATAATAGAATTAAATTTCAAAACCCTTTTGAGCCATATTCTAAATGAAAAAGATTCATGATATTTTTTTCAAAAAATAATTCTTTTGATATTAAAACTTTATGAGACTTTTTAAAAATCATACATTTAATTGAAACTTCTTTCAGAAAAATTTATGACAAGAAATAGTTTTTTTTGTGGTTTATGTTTGTGTGGTTTATGTTTAACTATTTAGTAGGACTTATTCATTTTTCCAAAGGAACCATCGTTTCACACTTATCTTTGTTCAGAAAAATTAACTAAAGCATGTTATTGTGAAGACTGGAAAAAATATGATTCTTTAAGGAAAGAAATTGCTCTTATTATGTTGCTGACCAGGAATGATTTTAGGGAGCTTCGCGCCCTCTTTTCTAGTAGCAGTTTTAGCTTTTAAATGTTTTCTATGCACAAAGTAATATAAAGTTTGTCTAAATTAATATTAAAAGATTAATATGGGCTACGGGGCCGAGCGCAGCGGCTAGGAAGGACTTGGGAAGTTGCCGTTACCACTTGGGAAAAAGTACCTAATATCTTCAAATGTTCTTGTTTGGTATCAAGTTGTATTTGAAATCTGGTACCAGGTGCATATATTTGAAATCTGGTACCAGGTGCATATATTTGAAATCTGTTACCAGGTGCATATATTTGAAATCTGGTACCAGGTACATATATTTGAAATCTGGTACCAGGTGCATATATTTGAAATCTGGTACCAGGTGCATATGTGACACTTACTTGATGCCGCGAAGAGTGAGACAGCTGAAGGTCAGCAAGAGGATAAGAGGCCCCATCGAAATGAATATCCATCTTGGTAGAGTCATTCCGAACCTGCATCATTCAGAGCTATACTTCACAATCATCTTACAGCAATGAGGTTACTCAATTGATGTACTGTCCCGTTAAATCCGTCTTTGGTCTGTATGTATAGGTATTATGTTCATTGTACAACCTTAAAGTTAGTCCGGTAATTCCAACAGGATTATAGTATACATAGTGATGATGTACCCTAATCCTTTACTTATGATGTACCCTAACACTTTACTTGTACAGGCCACATACTCCACTTACTTACTGGGAAAGCGTACTAAATATTTTATGTTTGTACTGTATGATCAGGCCAATCCTCTTACATCCTTTATCAGTAAACTGGGTTAATTGTACACTCAAGCTGAATAGCAGGTCAGGTAGTAACTACCAGCCCCCCGGGTAATTCAAGTGAATTGGAGTTTACAGTGTATTTATTACTAAAATAATTAATGTAAATTGGAGTTTACAGTGTATTTATTACTAAAATAATTAATGTAAATTGCGTAAATAATCTATAGTTGCAGGTAAAGGGGTGGTAAAAGGGACTGTCAGCGTAATATATGGAGTTAATTAAGGTTTAATTAAACTACGTTGATATTATCCATATTCCGACTGAAGGGGGGGGGGGTCATTATTAGCCCCATCTATAGTTTGTTATGAAAGATTTTTAAAAAAAATAGATCTTTCATTGTTCGTTTTTTTTCAGTCCTTCAAAAAAAATTTTAATTAGTTCGTGAATTTTCCATTCGTTTTTTTTCTAAATGAATGATCGTAAAATTAAATAAGTCGTTCAGTAAGATTGTTTGTTCAGTACATAGAGTAATATTGTTCAGTACATAGAGTAGCTATTGTTTGTTTACAAAAGTGTGTTCGAAAAAATGTGTGCTTTTTAACAACAACTCTAACTTTTTCAAGTTTGTTCCAACAAACGATTTAGAACAAACGTTTGATCAACGGTCTGACTGATCCATAAAATATGAACGATCGTTAACAATGTAAGATTGCAAGTTTTTTCTTGTTCATCTAAAAAAAAGAAAATTTGTTAAATTGTTCTAAACAACCCAACTATTCACGTTAATATTTTTTCGTTTTGAAAATTGTCTTTTGTTATCAAAAAAGATTCCTATCTCCACCTATCTCTATCTATCAGATTAACTCTGATAAGATTTTAACATTTTCTGAATAAACTTGGCTTTAATATATTAATCATACTTACAGAATATAATAAGGATTTTCTCTGAGGTCTGTGTGCACATGTCCTGGTTTGGTACTCCAGAATGTACTGTCGTTCCGTTGGGAACTCTTCGTTCCAATGAAGTGCGGTACTTCAACCTTAGTAATTATTAGTTAAATGCTTAAAAAAGAAAAGTATGTTACACCCAAATGTTAGTTTTAAGAGATATGTCATTTTCAACTTTATAGCTAAAAGATGTCTCTGAGGAGCGGGGGAAGGCAGGCGGCTATAAGCCACAACATTATTCTATTCCATGTCACATATAGCTTTTTTGACTGAACACACAATTCATTGATCTTTAATAAACTTATAAAATTTCTTAAAGGTGTAATCTTTCGGGTAATGCGACAGAATTTTAAAACATTTTAATTTCACTGCCCTCAATTTAAAAACGTCAGACTCAAATGCTGTGGCATGGAAGACCGAACGGTTGTGGCTTATGGCTGCCGGAAAACTAAAAAGCTAATAAGGGGTATGGAAGGGGAAAATGATCAAAGCATTAAAGGAAGAGACTGGCTAGGTATTGTATGCTGAACTGATAGCTTGCAGTATTATAAAATAATACAACGTAAAAACGTTTTATAGTTATAGAATGCAGAATTCCAATATTTTATTTAATAATATTCTCAGTTCGTTTAATGGTTTAATATGATAACACAAGGTCTTAGAGTTTCAGAATCATAGATTTTGTAAAACTATTTGTATGTGGAGTCTTGGTGAACCTGTTTTGTGGGTTAAAATAAACCACAAGTTTTTAATTTTGTACTGTTAATTATTCTACATAAGTATACGAGACGAGGGCAAAATATTTTAACTTTTGGAAAAAAAATTTCTAACTTAATAATATATTTCATGCATGTCACAAAAAAATCATATTTCTGGGGCGGAATTTTGTTTGCTGGATCTTACTGGATTTTGTAAATATATTTGGAGTTTGCAGATTATAAAACAGACCTCTGGATTTTAGACCTTGACAAAAATGTATTATATATATATATTAACAGATCATAAATACATCAAACACAAGATTCACAGAGGGGCAGTACCCCCCCCCCCCAGCAAATACATGATGATTCAAGTAGCCCAGCGTATAAGGGTTAAATAAACAGGAATAACTAACCCAATTGAGAAAGAGAGAGGGGGGGAACATCCATTCAACTCACCACTTTTGCTTCAAACCATTTTGGAATGTTGAGAAGGCAGGACAATGTTGCGCAGAAAATGTAGTGTATACATGACCCTCCAAGGAATGTTCCCTCCAAATCCCTAAAGAAAATTACTTTGCAAAAAATGCTTATCGACTATGATCCTGAATAAAAAAATATTTTAAGTCCGGCCATTTTCAAATTTAGTTTTTTTTTAGTGGGAAACTAAATTTACCATTGTAGATATAGTTAAGGCTCATGTTATAAAAGTAAAATTAAAGTAACAACAAAGGCAGACCACATTTTGGAAATAATTTCAAAGATCAAAGACAAGACTAAAGTTGTCTCTCAACTGTCATATTTTGTTGGTCACCCTGTATCTTCCTGGCCATTTTTAAATCCCCAATTAAAAACCAACCTGTGTACGATTGCTTTGCAAACAGCCAGCCACCTCTCAAATGCTATGGAAATGGTAAGGAACGCACTGAAGCAATCAAATTTACAATAAAAAGAAAAAAATTGTAAATTTTTACAGTTTAGAATTGTTAAGCATCCTAGAGTCCTCGTCGTATATATCAATACAATAAAGACGACGTTCGATTTAAATTTTTATTTTTATCAAGCTTTCAATTAGATGGATACACATAAACATAGGGAAAAAAGTAGCTGTCAATGAACGGCTTTTTCATATTACTTGTTGACTTTTTATTTGAAAATCAAATCTTAGATAAAAAATTGTCTCTATTGTATTGATATCAATTTCAGCATTTACCCATAGATCTTTGAAATTTATTGTTTTTTTTTTACAATTCTTTAGAATCTTTATAGGCTAAAACTTTTGTTGTGATTTAAAGTGACCCCATCATTAAGCATGAATATGCACGATTCACAATGATACCCTTTAACCCTTAATGAGGTGGAAGATTAGGACAATTTCCTTCATTGTTTCTGGAATGCACAAGTCAATTATGCAGAAAACCCGCAAAAGAAAGAAACACAAGCAGGGATATCTAATTCATCTTCGATTATACAAAGTTTTTTCAGGGGGTACCATTGTAAATCAGACATTGCCATCTTTTCAGGGAGGGTCACTTAAAGTTTTCACCTGATGTTCATTAAGAGGTTCTCCATAGGGTAGAGGAAGTTAGGGATAAGCATCATCATCAAAGGATGCTTAAGATCAAACGGCCAATTGAACACTAAACGAATTAATATCCTGTTATATCTTTGCAACAGCTGATGGTGTAAACCTTTGATATTTTAAACTTCGACTATTTGATTTAACAGAAGTCATAGTCTGGAACTTAGAATGTTCTTAACCAGGTTTAGAACTTCTAAGGTGAGTGGGGCGGGGAAATTCCAGACAAAGCTGGGTTTTCAAGTTAGTGCTTTGATTGTTCTTTGAGAAGCAGAAGAAAAATATAATTCTCGAAAACTTTTGCTTTTACTTTTTGGGCTTTCAAAATTACCGAAGATATGTGGATTTTTGTTACAAAATTAAACCGAAATTTGTTTAACGTCCAATTTCTTTTTTAAGATACAGTAGAGTTGCTTGCACCACTTTGTGAAAATTTAATTAGCCTTGTTTTAGATACACTTCATAATCGTTATAAAACTTTTTAAGATAAAAGTCGATTTTTAAGTCGTCTCTTAATTGTAAATAGGGACTGTGAGTGTAATTTGAAGTGAGCCAACAGTACATGGATTTACACCTTTACCACCTCTAAAAGCTTGGTCTAAGCAAGAATAAATTAGATATTCATATTTTTGTTTCTCTTAACTGCTTTTTTATTTGTGGGTTCTCTGCAAAGGTAACTTGCGCATTTCTTGTTTATAAGAAACAATGGAGAAATTTACAGAAATGAACACTTCTCGAGTTATAACAACGACACAATTTCTCAGATTAAGGTTTAAGGGTCCACGTATTGTAACCGTTGTAATTCGGGCATATAATATCTGGAGAGAAAGGATGGTATCCTGATGGGACAGATTATATATTCTGGCTATTTATGCATAGAAGGCCACGTTTACAGTCCCTTTATTGGAAACCCTTGTACCTGATACAAGGGATATGTCCATGACTGAAAGGAATACGTAGGAAACGTCATGAATAGCGATGAGTGTGACCAGCTTGTCAAAAGTTGACCATTCCTGTTGCAAAAAAACTCAAAAATTGGAAAACAGTTAAATATCTTTGTAATAAAGCTCTTTGCTCACATATATATGTCAGCTATAGCTGGCCAAACGGTTGGATTTTTTGTCCCCGGGGTTAACGGGACTGTAAAGGAAAAATGAAAGGAGGTATAGGCTGAAAGCTAATCACTTTAGCTCTTGATCCCGACCCATGGAACTTATATCTGATGTTCCTCTCTCGAGAAATTGATATAAAACTGTGTTAAAATTATACGAAAATTCATATATGTAAAATTTAGAAAATCTGAAACTTAAATCACGTGACCAGAACTATCACCAATGGCAGAGCAGTATACTGATCACGTGTCTCCGCCTATATCACGTGACCACTTTACTGCACTGCCATTGGTGGATTTTCTGGTCAAGTAATACGGACGTATAAATAATATTATGAATGAAATTTATTAAAAATAGAAATAACAAATATAAAAGTAAACCTAATTCACAATTAGCTTTCTCTGGGATATCATCGTTTTCAGATTTGTTGCATTTTTGTTGAATTTGATCTTTTTAAACCTACTACTTTTATACAAAATTGTATATATATTAATTTTCGTATAAATTTGACCAAAGTTGTATTTCAATTTCTCGAGATAGGAACATCAGATATGACTTTCATGGGTCGCGATCGAGAGCTAAAGTGATTAGCTTTCAGCCTATACCCCCTTTCATTTTTCCTTTACAGTCCCTTTAACATAGGCTAAAAAAATCGGATTGATTTTCTTCAAACATTAATTTTTTTTCAAAATTCGATTTTAAAAAACTCCACGGGCAACGCCGGGCTCTCCAACTAGTTTTATCATAAATCACTGCAAACTAGATACAAGGAGAGGGTAAAATTGCTAGTACGGCTTTGTGACCTCGTAGCTCCTCTAGATTTGATTTAACGCACAGACACGTATTTGGTTATGTATTATAAATTCATAACATTTTTGTTCTTCTCAATACCTCTTCAATAAAATACGATTGAAAAAAAATAGGATTTAAATCTTAATTGCAATTTACTTCAGCTTCTTTCTGAACACTAAAGGAGTACCTAACTACAAAAGCTGAAGTATTAGGTTACATCGTACGTCGTCAAAAAATCCCAGAGCAAAGACGATCGTTTTTGCTTTATATTTTCTTCTAGGGTAAGAAATTTGCATGGTTGATTAAATCAAACTTCTACAGAATACAGTTTTGAAATGTTGGACCCTTCTCAGATCGTCTAAAATCTTTAAAAAGTCTAAAAACATTCTGTGAAACGAATCAAGTTATTGCCCATCCCTATAACTAAAACACAATTTTGCGGATTTTCAAGTTTTTTTTTCGACGTTTATTGGATAGACCAAACACCCAAGCCAAACACATATATGGATTATTTACCGTATTCCTACTGGCGTTTCCTTTCCCCAAAATAGTCTGTATATCCTGATTCTGATAGAAATCTACAACATTTGATATTTTTTTTTATAGCCGTTTTGCAAAAATATATTAAAAATCTTTTTGCGAAATGTGTTAAATGGTTTCTAAAGTGTGCTGTACAATGTTGAAATCCAATGACTGTAAGTTGGTCTAATTATAGATTTAGTCTGGTATAGGAAAAATACGTCATTCAGACAGTATGTCTGAGGACTCAGGTAGAATATGTTAACCCACAGCTTTTATCTTAAATTAAATCTATGTTCGATGAGCCATACGGGGGGGAGGGGTCCTACGGACACAACCTAGTTGGAATATGGTTAATTTATTTTAAACCCATGAGTTAAATAAATATTATTGAGTTTCCTTGTAACGTAGATGAACAATGATGGTTAGAATATTGCAGATAATACTTGATACCCCCAGCACCAACTAGAAAATAATTAATCATCAATTATTAAGGAAGGATTTGAATTGTTGATTCAAATTTGAGCGGGTGGTAACTGGTAAGCCATTTAAATCAAATTCATTAATTTTGAATTGATTTGATTTGATTTTAAATAGTTAAAATTGTGATATCCATGTTTAGAATAAGTAAATGAACTTTGTCCAAAGATGAAAATAGAAAAAATATTTTAAGCTCATAAGTTAATGATAATACAACAGTAAAGTAAAATAATTTTATTAAAAAACTTACCATCCCATATCCGTCCACATATAGGTTGAAGATAAACCTCAGATCCCATTTACCCATTTTTTACCAATTCTAATGATGCCAAGCAAACTTATATAAAAAAGTAATTTGATAAACCTATCAAACACCTCAGACGTGGAAATTCTGGTCATGTGAAACAGTTATATCAATTATATCTATTGAAAATAAATAAGCATTATATTCAAATCACAATAGAAGCGCATACAAAATGTTTTAGGCCCGTAATTGCTCAATATAATCTGTTCTAAACTTTGATTCATATAATATATCACATTTACATTTTGGTATACTTTGACACAGTTTTATATCAATTTTACATAAATTACTTAAGTTTTTAAGCTTCAGCCTATACCCCTTAACATGTCTCTTTAACAGTCTGACTGATCCATAAAGTAGGAAGGTTCGTTATCGATTTTAAATCGGTTGTTTTTGTTATTATATTTTAAAATGATTTGAGATTTTGTTTAAATAAACCTTTAAATTATCTTTCAAATTTTTTTGATAAAATAGATCAAACCCAAGTCCTGTTTCACAAATTTTTATTCAATTTTGTCCAGTTTTAAAATCATTTGATGTGTTTTAAAGCTTTTTTCCCGATTGATGCCAGAGTCTCAATTCTGAAATTGTGTGGGATGTTTCGAGCTCGGACTAAATGTTATTTACGATGAAAGTTTTGAAAATCTTATCCTGTCAAACAAAACCGCGAACTTAAAAGATTTTAAAAAAGGTTCCAGGGAACAAAACTCACCAAACTTTAAAAAAGGGTTAAAATCATTATTTTTACTACTACACTTGGCTTTTACTTTTATTGGTATTTGTTTCAAAAATGAATTTTTTAATTAAACAAGCTATTCTTTTTTATTTGGCTATATAATGGGGTAATTTCCGTGTAAATTGTTTTATCAGAATAATTGGCGATTTTTGTGTAAATAATAATTTCGAAAGTAATACATATCTTTGATATGGACGGGATTTGAAAAAGAATGTTAACTAAAAAATTGAGTCTTCGCCACAAATCTGATTTTCTAACCCCTTTATCTTTGCAACCAAATGTAGTAGACCTTAGATATTTCAAACTATGAATTCAAAAACTAAATCAGGGTGCAAAGATACAGGGACAAGAAAATTCGAATTTGTAGCAAAGACTAAATTTCTGTCTCAGAGAATGGACCCTCCACTTGTTGATTCTCCTAAGAATATTTGAGAAATGAAGGTTTTGGCAATTTCTCTTTACAATTTATAGGATTCTCAATTAGCTCTCTCAGTTCTCTGGATATACCGAGATTTTCTCTGTGAAATTCCGTCTACTCTCAAACCTCGCTTACCAGTTGATGCTTACTTTCTAAACTTTTTTAACGTTGTAAAATATAGAAAAAATCCTATTCATAAAAATACATTGTGAAAAAATAGTCCTGTTTTGCATTCATTTTGCTTAATAAAAAAACTGGATTTTTCAAAAAAATTTGTGTTTTTGAAAATTTTTGGGTCCAAAGGGCTTTCGAAAAAAAAGTAAATATATGAGTCTTGGTATTTCTGGAGAGTTAATAAAGATAACTGTATCCAGGTTTTTCAGACTACTTTATTTATTACAGGGTTACTCAGAAAGGATGAGACTTCAGAGACGAGACGACTGCACTGTACGAAATGTATGCGGTCTGTTTCCTTATAATAAACCTTGGAATCATCATATTTAACGAGTTTCAGATGTCGTCTTTACAGTCGAATCCTTTCTGGGTAACCCTGTATTTTCCCAACTCAACATTTCACATGAGTAAAAAAATCTGTATCAAAATTCAAATTTTATTTCGCGTAAAAAAGCTTTTCTATTTATTGGATCTTCTTTTCCGCTTTCCAGTTGCAAAAGCTAAAATATAAAATTTATTAATTTCTTTTAAATTTTAAAATAAATAAAATGTGGAACTAACATCTACTTCATTAACTCCATCACCATCACCGAATTTTAAATTTGAAAAGGTTTCCATGCGAAATCAAAACTTGTTCTTCTTGCAAATTTAATTTCTTACCTAAAGCGTTTGCAGCATTCAGTTCATCTAAATAAAACAGTTTGAAGTCATTTTTAAGTTTCAGTTAACAGATTTAGTTTCAGTTAACATATTTAGTTTCAGTTAACAGATTTAGTTTCAGTTAAAAGATTTAGTTTCAGTTAATAGATTTAGTTTCAGTTAATAGATTTCGTTTCAGTAAACAGATTTAGTTTCAGGTAACAGATTTAGTTTCAGTTAACAGATTTAGTTTCAGTTAACAGATTTAATTTCAGTTAACAGATTTAGTTTCAGTTAACAGATTTAATTTCAGTTAACAGATTTAGTTTCAGTTAACAGATTTAGTTTCAGTTAATAGATTTAATTAAATTGGATTTTAACCACGTTATGATTCCAATCAACTAAGATTTGATTTCAATTGAGATCTTCGCATTAAAAATTTTATTACTATTAAGATATGATTGTAAATAAGTTTTGATTGTAATCAAGTTCTTGCTTGCAGTTATTTTTAATGCAATTGAGCTTTGATTTTTGATTTAAATTTTGATTACGACTGATTTGATTGCAAAATAATGATGTTCAAAAAATTTAATTTTTACCTATAGCTATTGCCATATATGCTCCGGCCATAACTGAAAAAAACCTCGTAAAATAAAAAAAAAGCTTGAAAAGTAAATTTTCAAATCTTTACTTGATAAATAAATCCACTGTTCATTCACTTAATAGATCTGTTGACGAATAAGGAAGATAACTTAAAGGATCTGTTGACGAATAAGGAAGGAAACTTAAAGGATCTGTTGACGAATAAGGAAGATAGCTTAAAGGATCTGTTGACGAATAAGTAAGGAAACTTAAAGGATCTGTTGACGAATAAGGAAGATAACTTAAAGGATCTCTTTACGAATAAGGAAGGAAACTTAAAGGATCTGTTGACGAATAAGAAAGATAGCTTAAAGGATCTGTTGACGAATAAGAAAGATAACTTAAAGGATCTGTTGACGAATAAGGAAGATAGCTGAAAGGGTCTGTTGACGAACAAGGAAGATAGCTTAAAGGATCTGTTGACGAATAAGGAGATAGCTGAAAGGATCTGTTGACGAATAAGGAAGATAGCTTAAAGGATCTGTTGACGAACAAGGAAGATAGCTTAAAGGATCTGTTGACAAATAAGGAAGATAACTTAAAGGATCTGTTGACGAATAAGGAGATAGGTTAAAGGATCTGTTGACGAATAAGGAAGATAGCTTAAAGGATCTGTTGACGAATAAGGAAGATAACTTAAAGGATTTGTTGACGAATAAGGAGATAGCATAAAGGATCTGTTGACGAATAAGAAAGATAACTTAAAGGATCTGTTGACGAATAAGGAAGATAGCTGAAAGGATCTGTTGACGAACAAGGAAGGATCTGTTGACGAATAAGGAAGATAGCTGAAAGGATCTGTTGACGAACAAGGAAGATAACTCAAAGGTTCTGTTGACGAATGAAAGCTGTTTTCTTGAACCCATGCTCACAGATAAATAAAATTCAATTTAAGTGCTTTTAAACTTTTCTTAAAAGTTTTTATAAATTCTCCATGAAAGCTGTTTCTTGAACCCATGCTCACACAGATAAATAATTCAATATAAGTGCTATTGAACTTTTCTTAAAAGTTTATATAAATTCTCCATGGAAGTTGTTTTCTTGAGCCCATGCTCTCACAGATAAATAATTCAATATAAGTGCTTTTAAACTTTTCTTAAAAGTTTTTATAAATTCTCCATGAAAGCTGTTTCTTGAACCCATGCTTACACAGATAAATAATTCAACAATTGCTTTTAGACTTTCCTTTATTACGTTGACGTAATTAAAAGAGTTCTTCCATTTAAATATTGTCACATGGTCGATGCATAGCAGTCATGTAACCTCATTTCCTTGACCTCACCAGGGTGTCCAGGTAAACATGAGTGACGGCTTGAAGATCGTCTTTGTTTTTTATAATTATTTGCGGCATTCATTCTTTAACCTAATTCTAGATAAACTGTGTGGAACCATTTTTACAAAATACTCAGTGTCGAACCGTAATAATTCGGACATACAACGTGTTCAATTGAGGGCGCTTAAAAACACTTTAATTACTTAAATTACGTGAATAAAACTATAAGAGATGAATAATAGTGATAACAAATGGCTTTCATTAATGGGGGGGGGGGCATGTCCGATTTACAATGATACCCATAAAAGCTCTTAATTAGATATCCATGTTTTGTTTCAAAAAACTTTTATTTTCATTTGTGGTTCCAAATTAAACACTTCACAAGAAGTGACGCAAATATTTTCCATATTATTGAACAGATTAGTATTTTAAGATTACCATTGTGAATCGGATAGGTCCCTTTTTTTTAAATGGTCCCTTTAATAATGAATGGATGACCTAGCATTGAACCCATTGCCATCATCATAGGATCCATCAGCGCATCTACCAGTTGAGGAGGATCCATTGCCATCACCTGGAAATATAATTTACAGCATTTTTGGAGATTTGTTGGGTGAGACCTTCGACATTTTGGTTGTAATGAAATTAAGCATTAAAGCCTCAACTTGACCGAAACATTTTGGAGCTTAGCTTGACGGGTTGTACTGTTCAGTGAACAACTTCCAATTCAAATAAACCCAGCAACAGTGCACAGCACACAGTTTAGTTAAGTTCAAAACAAACAATTATTTTCTCTGGTTTCCACCATAAACTAATTCCATGCACACTGCACCGAGCAACCAAGAAGGATACAAAAACTTTAGCAAACATTTGATTGTAATCGTAAATAGATCTAATAAAGACTCACACAAGTTCAAAAGTTACATGATCCGGACCGGTACAAAGATGCCATACCGGCCCGTCTAGTGTACCCAGTATATTGTTGAATTTTATGCAACAGAATTCGGAGTGCTGAACTATAGTTCTGGCCACTAGATTTTTCAGAACCATTACCCTTTCTCAACAATTCTACTAAGGACGGGGGAAGGAAGGGCCGGGGTCCCCCCCCCAGCGTATCCTGGTTTTCAAGTACCCCAGCAGGGATAGGGTTAACCAATTTTAACTAATGTATCAATAAATACATGGGGGAGAAATTAAATGAAGGCCCTTCCAGTCAAGAAAACGAACCAATCTGGCGTTCTTAGAATAAACTTGTTTGATCTAAATATTTAATCTCATCATGAAACACTAGGCATATGCATTTTAAGAAGAAGATTGTGACCCCCTGACCCCTAAATTATCCCACAGTGAGAGGGAGGGAGGTCTTGGGTTATTTTTTAACTTACATGTTGCCTAATAGCTTCTCTAGCACTTAGTGTTGTTGTGCTTGCTGTTGTTGTTGTTACTGATGTTATTGTTGTAGTGGGTGGTGGTGATGTTGGTCTTGAAGTTAATCTAAACAAGTTTGTATTTTAAAAGAACATTTTTAAATTGCGCCATTGTCAAATTTTGTTAATATTACAAATCAACACTTTGTAGATACATGTATTGTATAATGTTTATTTTATAAATTTTTATCGAAATGTTGAATAATTCATGATTGATCGTTTTCACTTTTCTAAAAAACGATCGCTTCGTTAACGACGTAAAAGAAAACAAAAAACGAAACAATTGTTTTTATAAAAAAAATTGTGTTTATTTAAAGATTAAAACACGAAGTAGTAATTTTTATTTTATTAGACGTCGTTTCGCTTAGGACAAGCCTTGTTTTAAATGACAACTTCTAAAATTTCAGAATCTTTTCAAATAGCCAATTGTTTAAGTTCAAATTAACTTGGGGGAACATTTACAAAAACCAAAAGTGTTTGCAATATCGTTTTTTTTTCTAAAAAAAACGGAGATTCGTTAGTTTTAAAAATCCAAAACGAAACGAAATCGATATTTTTTTTCGATCTAATGGGGTTAATCTATACAAATTGCTGTGTCTAATGTTTATTGGACTATTTAAAGTTATAGCTTGAGTCGGAAAACTTCAAATTCAAGAGTTTAATGGTTCTCGCTGTGTGCATGAAATTGTTGTCGTACCTGTTCATTGAAAATCCTGCGGATTCATGACTGTTGTAATTTCTAAAAAAATAGATTTTATTAATTCTTCAATCATCAATTTTAGAGATCGTACTTAAACCTGATGATTTCAACATTTAATATTTCAAAAGATTATTTTATCTAACATAATTCATAGTTTGAAATATCTAAGGTCTTTAAAATAAAACTTGGAACTGTTTTTTTTTTTCAACCTTAAGTAATTGTTCGAAGCACTACGTTTTGTATTTATATATTCGAAACTTGAATGTTTACTTACGTTAGTTGCATATTCATATTAGTTTGCTGAAAGGAGAAAGGATACAAATTTTGCTCGACTGCCCCCTGCAAATAAGTAATTTTTTTTTTTGGGGGGGGGAGGGGGTATTTATATGTTTTTACATATTATATACAAATGTGGCGAAAGATAATCGATGACTATAGGTTGTAATATCTGAATGATTTGTTTGAAATTAAATTGATTTTTTTACGGTCTAAGTCGTATGTTCAAACTTCCTCAATTTGTATGGACACGTTGAAATTTTCTCAATTTGTATGGACACTAAGTTATTCGGTATGAGACGTCTTTAACAATTTTCTCCTTATAGACGCAACAGATAGAAGTAAGATTAGTAGCGATTTTATCGCATTAAGCCTATACCCCCTTTCATTTTTCGCGAACACTCCCTTTAAAGTACTACGTTTTGTATTTATTTATTCGAAACTTGAATGTTTACTTACGTTGGTTGCATATTCATATTAGTTTGCTGAAAGGAGAAAGGATACAAACTTTGCTCTACTGCACCCTGCAAAAAAGTATTTTTTTTTTTTGGGGGGGGGAGGGGGTATTTATATGTTTTTACATGTTGTTATCGTAATCCTTTTGATTTTGATATCAAAAAGTAAATTTTGTATGAAAACACTATATTGAGTCTTCTAAGAAAATATTTTTAATAATATTTTTAAAAAACTATTTGGAAAGTATATAAAAATAACAACACAACAGAAACCTTTAAAGTTTTCTTTTTGATCACAAATGAATAAGATATCATTGTTTTTAACTTTAAATATTAAATATTTGATCAATTGTGTTTTTCTTTAAAAGTAACAGGCAAATTTTTGTTCCAGAAACCATAGAGCTGGAATCTTCAGAATTAGAAAATTTTTAATTCAGAAAAACGACTATATCTAACGCGTTATTAATCAGATAACATGGTGAAAGAGTGAAAGAAAACCGGGCATATCAACCCTTTAAATGATGTTTAAATGAAAGGTCATTTAAAAAACGACAACAGTCCATTTAGAAAACAATTTGGTAAATAATTGATAAATATTAGATATTTGGTAAAATATTAAAATTAATATTTAACATATTTTGTTATTGTTCTGACCTGTGCTCCCCCTCCCATCTTGAACTCGGATGGCGGGAGTCTGCTCGTGTCCAAACTGTAATAAATGAATTAAAGAAATATAACAAAGATACTGAGCTCTTGCCACAAACTCAAACTTACTAATCCTATATCTTGCATCCTGATGGTGTTAAACCTTTGATATTTCGAACTTAGACAGTTTGATCTGATATAATTCATAGTTAGTTTTAAATATCTACGACATCGGGTTGTATTAAACACTTTTCTCCCCTTTCCCATATCTGTTCTTCTTTATTTAAAATTCACTACAACATAAAATTCAAATATAAAGGTATTATTCTAGTCATCACTCCCAGTACATATTCCTCCATGGTTATACCTGTCCTGTCCATTACAATTCCCTCCGACTTTGAATCCTCCATTGCAATTGTTCGCTGAAATCAATATTTAATGTTTTTGACTATTCTTTTATTTCAAGAGCTTAATAAGATTGATCATTAATTAAAACTTTTAATTAATTATTCATAATATAAAAGTCATAAAACTACCCCAATATATGATAATTAATAATAACAACAAAAAGAAGGCAAAAATCAAAATATTAAAAAGAGAAATAAAATTGAAAAAATCAGTAGTTTACTAAAAAAAGGATAATAGAAAAAAAGAACAGAATGAAGAAACCTCTGTTGAATCTTGAAAATTTCATTTCCTCAACGCGCAGTGAACTGCCACAAGAATATGGTATAATTTAAATAAGAAAACTTATGAAATTACAGAAACATTATGTACGGCAGTTTTCTCTATCTAGCTCTCAATGCTGAGTGGAAGGATAGATAGTTAATAATATTAATTAATAAAGGGTGCGAGGTTTTATAGTAAGGGAATGTGCCTCAAACTTGTTTTGTAAGCAAACGTAAAAAATTGTGTAAAGGACAATGAAAAGTAATGGAAACAAATATGATATTATGTTATTTTGCCAATAAAGAGAGAAGCTAGAAAAGCCAATCTTTAATAACTTAAATTAATAATTTCTTAAAAAAATTTTAGAAATATTTTAGAAAATTGCTTAGGGGACTTTATAAATGTAATTTCTAGAGACCTTGAATGGATTCAACCCTGACACACAACATTACAAAGCTCAACAGCTTTATTGGATCAAGACTACATGAAATATCCATAATTTTCTAATTGAAAGGATTCAACCCTGACACACAACATTACAAAGCTCGACAGCTTTATTGGATCAAGACTACATGAAATATCCATAATTTTCTAATTGAATGGATTCAACCCTGACACACAACATTACAAAGCTCAACAGCTTTATTGGATCAAGACTACATGAAATATCCATAATTTTCTAATTGAAAATTAATTATATTCGATCAGGTGTAAAACTCTGAAACATTATATATTATATGATCAGTTGATAAATCAATCTGATTAGAATCCCTACCAAGTTGTGTTGTACAGACTCGTTTACCCCCAGTAGATGAATCCTTCTTGCACTGTTCCACGCCGTTAGGGCGGACTGGTAGGTTAAACTGTCCAGGGATCACAACGTTTATATTCTCACTAAAATATAATATCTAGAGGCACGTTATATATTCTAATATAAACCATGTTTAAACTCCTGAGTTTTCAAAATCACATTCAGCTCCCGGATCTACCCAAACCTACATAAAGGTTGAGCACAAAGTATTCAGGACTTTTGAATCTATTCTTATAAAAGCACACGATGATTGCATGATTTAAACAGTTTATTGGTATAAGGTTGTATATATTTACTTCTTTGGTTCCCTCCATATCTTAATTCTTGATGTTAAGCTTCAGGAAGTTGAGGTTTGTGATCTCCTTCTCCTCCAACCTCTGCTTGATGATTGCCCAGATCTTTTCTATTGGCACACTGTGACAGTGACAACATGTTGTGTAGAAAAATGATTGAGTCAATCGCTGGGCGCCCGGGAGCTGTCATCGCCAAAGGAGGAGAACAAGTATATTTTTAACTTTAATAATTTATTTTAATTAAATCTGACAATAGTTTTAAATATTTATATGACATGAGAACATGTATTGAATGAAGACTATCAGAACATAGTTTGATTTTGATAAAACTTTCCTGTCCTACCCTGACATATATCCCTGTCCTACCCTGAAATATATCCCTGTCCTACCCTGACATATATTCCTGTCCTAGCCTGACATATATTCCTGTCCTACCCCGACATATATTCCTGTCCTACCCTGACATATATCCCTGTCCTACCCCGACATATATCCCTGTCATACCCTGACATAAATTCCTGTCCTACCCTGACATATATTCCTGTCCTACCCTGACATATATCCCTGTCCTACCCTGACATATATCCCTGTCCTACCCTGACATATATTCCTGTCCTACCCTGACATATATTCCTGTCCTACCCCGACATATATTCCTGTCCTACCCTGACATATATCCCTGTCCTACCCTGACATATATTCCTGTCCTACCCCGACATATATTCCTGTCCTACCCTGACATATATCCCTGTCCTACCCTGACATATATCCCTGTCCTACCCCGACATATATCCCTGTCCTACACTGACATATATCCCTGTTCTACCCCGACATATATCCCTGTCCTACTACAGTACTAGTTCAGTCCTACTTCTGTCTACTCAAATATGATTGAAAGATAATAATCTCGAAAAATAAATTGGCAGATTTTGAACAATGTTGACAATCAGGGTAAGAAATGGGCCAGATCGCTGATTGCAGCTAATGTCCCCCTTGTAATAAGTAAATTGTAAAGGCAAAACTAAGTAAAAAACTATAAAAAAAACTCACTGTGGTTTGTTGAGATCACTGTCGGTGTCATCAGTTCTATATCTTGATTTAATTGTTTCATATTCTTCCTCATTTTCTTCCATACCATAGATTTCGGTATCTTCATATTCTGCTTTAGAATCAATTTTGTCATTTCCATTTTAATAAATATCATACTTCCTACTTAAATTTCAAATCAGTAAAGCTTTGATCTGTGCTCAAAATATTTTTCTAAAACTTAAGTATCTCCACAGAATACAAATTCTTTATCAAAGTAAATGATTCTAAACTTCAATTTGGCAGACTAAGATCTCATTCTTGTTTAAAGGGAGAGACTGGCTAGGTATCATATTTGAATCGAGAGTGCAGTATTGTGGAGAAAAATGTTAGGATTTTTTTGAGAACAATGTGACGTTTTACGGTGTATATTTTCTAAAGATAGATAGATAAAAACCTGATATAATGTCACTCTCGCCTATATAATCAGTGAAATCATATGAGGTGTTTATCTACAGTGACGATATTTTACGTACATTGGAGCGTATCAAGAGTACCCAACCTTAATTATACACCCTTGTTCTAAAGATTCCTTACTGAAAATATTTGGGTTTGCTGTTTGAGAACCAAATAACCCAGGATCTTCTATTCTAGTAGGAGTAAGAAATGAGAGAAGAGACGGAGTCTTCTTAGACAATTCTTCTTTTTCAATCAATGGAGTCTTCTTAGACAACTCTTCTTTTTCAATCAATGGAGTCTTCTTGGACAATTCTTCTTTTTCAATCAATGGAGTCTTCTTGAACAATTCTTCTTTTTCAATCAATGGAGTCTTCTTGGATAATTCTACTTTTTCGATAAATGGAGTCGCAGCATGGTCATCCTGATCCAGATCCTGATCAAACAAAAATTATTCTTAAAGGAACTCCCTTCGTAAATTGACTGCCCTTTTAAAAAGGTGCATTTCCGATTCAAATCGATCCAATTGGAACCTTATTCTGATCAATAATGGAGAAGAAAACGTCGTTTATCTGGCATGAGAAGTGTTTAATTCTGATACTTTTTCCATTGTTTCTTAAGCAAGAAATGCACAAGCCACTGCTGTAGATAACTTACAAATGAAAATAAACAGTTTTCAAAAACAATCAAAGGTTTTAAGGGTCCATTGTGAATCAGATATGAACAAAGCCGAAAGCGCCTATCTCTAACCATGCAAGATTTATTATCCACAATTTTAGAATCCAATTAGATTTTTAATTCCTCTCATTAGTCTCAAAATATCCATTCAAATGATGTCTGTCAAAAAATTCATTTCTTGGTTTTGGTTAAAAGTATTTTAAAAGTAGACTTATATCCTCTAAACAATATGTTTAGAATATTTCTAAACAAACATAAACAAAACTGCGAAGTCACTTCATGGCGTTTAAATAAAAAAAGATAATAATACTATTTTTATCTTTTCTCTGTAGTAAAGCTACAGCTACCAACGCGTAAAATTTTTAATGTTAAGATCTATATATTTTAATATATTTTAATTGTAATTTAATACTACTAGGATTAAAAATACAAAATAGAAATAGAAAATGATAGAAATATTTTACATTATGTAGACAAAGGACAACAACAACAAAAATAAACAACTTTTAGATAGACAAAGGACAATAAACACAAAGATAAACAACTATTAGATAGACAAAGGACAACAACAACAAAATAAACAACTTTTAGATAGACAAAGGACAACAACAACAAAAATATACAACTTCTAGATAGACAAAGGACAATAACAACAAAAATAAACAACTATTAGATAGACAAAGGACAACAACAACAAAAATAAAAAACTTTTAGATAGACAAAGGACAACAACAAAAATAAACAACTTCTAGATAGACAAAGGACAATAAAAACACAAATAAACAACTTTTAGACAGAGAAAGGACAACAACAAAAATAAACAACTTCTATATAGACAAAGGACAACAACAACAATAAAAAAACTTTCAGATAGACATAGGACAACATCAACAAAAATAAACAACATCTAGATAGACAACAACAATAATAAATAAATTAAACTTCTAGATATAAATAGGACAACAACAACGATAAATAGACAACTTCTAGATAGAAATAGGACAACAACAGCAAAAATAAACAACATCTAGATAGACAAAGGGCAACAACACATTAGAGGTCTAATATGAGACCATAGGAATAATAATACCCTTTTTTAAATGCATAGGATGCATAGATGCATAGTTTATATACATTTTATATTTAGGACAACAACAACAAAAAATAAACAACAATGTGATTGAAACCAACAATATGAAAATTAACAATTGCATGATGAGAAAAAAACACAAGAAAGAAATACATATATGTCATTTTCTATTTTATTTTTGAACATGTTCTCTTTGAATACACTGTAAAACAAAAACAAATAAAAATATTTAGCGGGTTTTATAAAAAAAAATTTCGTGGCTTTTTTAAATTTTCAAATATCAAACTTTGTTTCAGCAAATATTTGAAAATTCGATCATCCATAAACCTTCTCTGGGGTCACGCAGGTCCCACAAAAAATTTGGGCCGATCGGTTCAGTCGTTTGACGTTTTCCAATTACCGCAAAAATTAGCTTTTTCTTAACCCTATAAAGGCTGGGGGGAGAGGGTCTAAATCTATGTATAGCCTTGAGGGAGCCCTTAGCTTGGCCTTAGAGTAAAGATGTTGGGTTGCATTGCATGTTAATAGCCCAATTTTTCCAGGCCAGTACTTTTTTATATAGACCGCTCACTTTGATACTTTTGGAGCTGGGAGGTTTGAAAAAATGTCCAAAAAGGGTTGGAAAAATGTAAAAAATAAATTTGTCTGTTTTTGACATTAAAAAAGTTTAGTTTCAGATTCTCTTGTATAATATGTATCTGTTTCTTTTACTAATTTGTTATTTTTGAAACTTTCTTTTTATCATCTTTTGTTTTCAACAAAACATTTCTTCAGTTATAGAATATTGTTAAAATTCAAGTTTAAAAAATAAATATGTGAAAAAAATAGGTCCAGGAAATAATTTAGATTGTTGCCTTCTTAATACTAACCTTATATGAATGTGGAAAAACCGGCATTTCTCCATTTTCCCAGGTTTGGTACAAAATTCCCTTTTCTTTTAAAAAAAAGAACACGCTTTAAAATTACTATAAATCGTTTTGTAAATCGTTTGTTACAATCTATATATACTAGGCTTCTATTTCAATTTTCTGAAACAAACAGACAAACAAAAAAACACCCAAACAAGTTAAATTTATATATATAAATAAATTAATATGTAAAAAAAGAACATGCTTTAAAATTACTAAAAATCGTTTTGTATCTTCAGGGTGTCCCAATAAACATGGGAATTCAGTGACGAATTCGATATCGTCTTTTCAAATAATTCTTTGATTTAGTAAAGTGATACCTACTGATAAAGCTGTAATCTGTAAGAGTTTCGACTGCTATGTTCACATTTTGTTTGCTTATGTTTTGACCGCATAGGGGTGTACTTAGTAAAACAAGAAAATTGCAGTATACAAACAGAGTAAACTTGTCCGTCTTCACTGTTCATCTTGCGGAGACATTATAGACACATCTTTACAGTCTTTTACCCTTTTCATAAAATGAATTCTAGCAGACATAAAAATATTATGGCTTTTGAAATTAGGTATTACAATGCTAATTCATAACAAAGACGATATCGAATTCGTCACTGAATTCCGATGTTTTTGGGACACCCTGTAGTTAAACTCTAAGTGAGCCATACATCGAAAGAATTTATCAAATGTCGTCTTGACAATTTTTCAATGGGGTTTATACTAATTTACGTAAATCTCAGTATTTGCGAAAATAAATAATAGCCATGAATATGCGGGAACAGTTTTAAAGAGCTCCATATAATCATTTAATTAAAAAACTAAATATCTGCATCATTCCATTATCAGAAAGTGAAGAATACGACATTTGATGAATTCTTTCGATGCATGTAGCTATTATTTATTAAATGTTAGTTACCAAGTTGATGCTGGATTTTTTAAATCTTACATAAACAAATAACCTGGTTGCGATACATTATTTTCTTCTAAGGAAACTCTGGGAACTATAATAAAAGAAATAATCAAAAAGTATAGTTTTTTTTTGTAAAATGCTTAACAATATTATATACTTTGTTTCTGAATGCTCAGAAGCTGTTATAGGACCGGATAGTTTGTGTTCCGACATCTTTAACCATTTTCTTTTACAAAACAAAAGTAATTGGAACAAACCTTACTTACTGCAGTTGTTATACAACTATTACATTGAATAGTAACCCTACTTTTCATGTTTTTAAAAAAAGATTAAGAACATGCTTAATGTTTGTTGCGTATATAAACTGATAATATGGTATGAGCAGAAAAAATCAGAAAACTCTGGAATAGGAAGACGACTTTTAGTCCAATAAACATGAAACACAGCAAGTGTGCAATGTGAACAGACCAATTAACATAAAAAATACCTTTAAACATTGTTATACTGTCGTCTTTCTATTCCATAGTTTTCTGGTTCTTCACTGCAAACCAAAAAGAATGAGAAGGTAAAATTAAGGAGAATGTTAAGTTTATAACTATTTTAACTTCCGACTCCGAGTGCTAATTATCGTTAAAAACAATAATGAAATTAAATTACCTAATGGAAACACTGGTATAGTTCCTTTCTTCCAACTTGGGGGATAAGTAAAATCCTCCTCTTCTACTTTAAACTTTAATTCTTCAGTAGTATAACCTTCGTCGTCTTCTTGATCAAACGTATTCGTAGCATTTTCTTCAACATTGCGCAAACTGGGGGTCAGATTCTCACTTCTTGTATTCAATTCATCACCTGACTTAATTTTTCAAGATAGAATACTTATTCTATTATACTTCCCTTTATTTACTGGGTAATAAGGCTGATTCACAACGGTAGCTTTAAGCTATTATTTTGGTAGCAATGAGGAAGATATCGATCTATCTATACTCAACAGTATCTCATTCAGGGTCACTTGAAATTACATTCCTGTTGCGTAAAAAAAAGAGAGGTAGGTCATTGTTTTTCAAAACAACATTAAAGGAAGTGTTCGCGATATGTCGCGTTTATAAGGCGAAAATTGTTAGAAACGACTTATACTGAAGAACGTGGCGTCCATACAAATTCAGAAAGTTGCAATATACGACTCGTATCGTAAAAAAAACAATATATTCGAACAAATTATTCAGATATTACAACCTAAAGTCATCGATTATTTTTCGACGCATTCATATTTAATTGATATTTCATAATATTTGGTATTTTTTTATGTAAATTGCAATAAAAAAGACTTTTTTATGCTAGGTGTTTGCTACATCTGGTAATCATTCAAAGCATCAAGAGCTGAGACATCTGGCTGCAGCCAACTATTTCGGCGTTTTAAATGCATTGTATATAAAACGAATATTAAATATTAACTATATACGAATGCCATTCTAGGTATTGATGGAATCGAGTTGAATTAAGAAACTGTAACCAGTTAAAAGAGATGCTTATAAAACCATAAAAAAATTAAAAAATAGTTTTTTAACTTCAGCAAATTGGTTTTCGTAATTGATGGAGAATGGGAGCATTTGTCAGATAGTTCACATGACTATGTCTGAGACACGCTTGGAATGAAAGATGGAGCCCTAAAATGTATCCAGAAGAAATTCTGTGTCTATACATTCTTTGGAATGTATAATCTATCCAAAGAAAAAAAATCGATGACAATAAGTTATGTTATTTTTCGCTTTTAAGTAATTGGTTAGTAAAAATGTCAAAAAACCTTAAATTCTAAAGAAAGTTCTTTTCTGTCTATGAAATTACGTCTATCATGGAAAAATTTACTCTGTCTATGAAAATCTCCTGTCTATAAAATGTTTTATCTATGAAATGTCCTGTCTATGAAATTGAAATGTCTATCTATGAAATGTTTATCTTTGAAATATCTTTCTATAAAATGTCCCAACACCTTAGGACATATTTTTTACAAGAAAATTTCTGTTTATTAAACATATTTTACCTGAATTGAATCATCATTCATAAGTTTGATGTTCTCTAAAAACAGAATCATCAAATAGATTATCAAGTACAATAGGTGGCAAGAGAGAAATTGACTAATTATATGCACGACGTCACAAGTGTCAAATATAACAAGGAAAACAAAATTTTCTCACATTAGTTGACATGTTTTCCAAGATTAAATAAAAAAGTGTAAAAAAGGAAAATAAAGAACACATCAAATTGCAATTATTTTACTGTAAGATAAGCATTTTATTCTAAAATTATCACTATTACTAATAATTTTGTCGGACACAAAAACTGAGTTGATACTTGTGACGTCAGAATACAACTATGAGAGTGCAAAAATTCTACGTTGCCATATATTGTACAAACTATTTGTAAACAGGTTAATAACAAATGATGAGACTTCAGAGACGACTGTACATAATTCATTCTGTTTGTTTCCTTATATTTATTATTGTCTGCAACTGTAAACTTGTTTCTTTTAATGCCTAATCATTGAATAAACCAATAAAAGATTGTATTCAATGTAGAAGACTTTGTTTAAGCCTGGAATCGTCGTTCAAGTCGTCTTCACAGTCTCATCCTTTTTTGGGTAAACGTATATACAAAGTATACGGTTGAGCTGGAATATTAAAGATTGAGGTGGGATTTTAGATAATTATCCATTTGATAAAAGGTAAAACGATCCCAACTTAATTTTGCCCTTGGCAACCTCAAAACTTGATGGTTCTAATATTTTTAGGAGTTCAAAGTAAAGCCAGGATAATTGATCAGCAGTCACAATAAAGTTTATAGCCCGGACAACAAATAAGGGTGAAATAATTAAGGGTACGTATAAAATAACTTTACTGTTGCGGATATTTCTGAACATTAAAGAAACAATTATTTTTTTAATCAAATGAACTTGAAATTCCAGTTTTTGAAAGGGTTGAATTGTCTCAAAATTATCACTCTGTTTCAACTAGTTTTTATTTGTAGTGACATATATCTATATTTTTTTAAGTCTTAAATTTTTTAAATTTTACAAAAATAAAAAACGTTTAAACACAAATTTTTCAATTTTGATCATTCATAAACCTTCTCTGGGGTCTCGTGTGGCCCCACACAAAATTTGGGCCCCATCGGTTGACGTTTATTGGATACAAATACCCAGACGGACAAGATAAATTTATATATAGATGTATATTTTACAAAATACCTGTAGCTGTACTTGTACTTGTACTTGTACTTGTACTTGTACTTGTACTTGTACTCGTACTCGTACTCGTACTCGTACTCGTACTCGTACTTGTACTTGTACTTGTACTTGTACTTGTACTTGTACTTGTACTTGTACTTGTACTTGTACTTGTACTTGTACTCGTACTTGTACTTGTACTTGTACTTGTACTTGTACTTGTACTTGTACTTGTGCTTGTACTTGTACTTGTACTTGTAGCTGTACCTGTACTTGTACTTGTATCACTGTATGGACTAAGAGACATAAGAAGCATCCCTCCACTAGGAAGCATGACTAAACTGCTCGGATTCTTATTCTCCTTAAAAAAAAGTATCTGAGGTCGAAAGTATAAAACACCTGAAGAGTCTTTCACGAAAAATCAAATAGTATAATACCTATATCTTTGCAACCTGATGGTGTAAACCTTTGATATCTCAAAATTAGATGTTTTATTTAACAGAATTCATTGTTTAAAAAATCCAAGGTATGCGCAACATTTGGTTGCTCAAATATAGGGATTAGAAAATCAGAGTTTGCTACAAAGACTCAATTTGTTTGTATAGTCAAATGATCCAAGCTTAGATGACTCATAAAGGAGGAGCGTGTCCCCCCCGCCCCCAATTAAATTTTTTTCAAAGAGATTTTTTTTCATGAGTTTTTAAAAAAAGATTACATTTCTTAATTCTTTTCATAGAAATTATGATGATTCACGATATTTGATAATCAACTATTTTTCTTAAAAACTATAAAGCGTGATGAGCTGCCATGGGTCAAAAACAAAATTATTATAAAAATAGTTTATTCGTTTTATTTTTAAAATAACTGTATACAGTATACTGTGTACAATGTACAATGTTTTTTACTGTATTTTTAAAGTCACTTTAAGAGATTTCTTTACCTGGATTAAATCTCTAAGATGTTGATTGCTTAATTCCACTGAAGATCCACCCGTAGGACCCCTGGGTAATAATTAAATTAAATTAATTTTTTCAAAAACCAATATCATTGTTGAAACATGCATATGCTTTTACCTATAAAACGATACCTTAGACGGCTTGTGCTCTCTAAGACATAAGTTTACATTTGAGAATGTGTTCTTTTTTTGCCTGAACAGTCCCTTAGAAGGCCCCATGAAAAAAACTAACAACATTTTTGGCCTATTTAACTACCTAGTACCTTGAACCTNCCTTCTATACTTAAATAATTCGTAAGATTTTTTCTACTATTAACATTCATTATAACATTGTACAATTAAACATGACCTATAATTTATGTTATTTTTTAGGAAATAAAGATTTTGTTATCGAATTTCTGTGACGGGGTTACTCTGTTGTGTGTGTATTGTTCGGCCATCGGGAAAGAATCGTCTGGGGATAATAAGCACCCCTTTCAAAATCCCAACCGGCCTATTATCCGGATTTGTCTAGCGTGTTGCTGTTATCTGTCAACAATATTCTATTCTCTATGCATACAAAACACAATGCCGTAAATTCTTAAATTGTTATTTGAAATTTTTAGATTATCAATAAAACGAAATTTATTTTAATTAATGTTTAAACTTTAAAAACTATTTTAAGAATTTGTGATTTTATTTTTATTACAGCTGATTAAGACAGAAACCTGATCTGAGGTAAATACATGAGTGTAAGCTCTCCTTGTGGAACTCTCACCTAGAATACACTGTACAGTAATCGAATTATAAATATTCTAGGCTTTTAGGGCGCTTCCCTCACCCCCCTTGCCTACTGCCTATCAACAATTTTAGCTTTGAAGATCTCTGAAAGTCCCCATTTTTAATAGTTTCTGGATTTTTCGGACCTTTTCGCGGATTTTTCTTTTAATTTTGGAGCATTTTCAAAATAAATTAACTCTAACATTTTTTGTGTTAGCAAAATTTCTCTTTTTCATTAAATTTTCCTGGGGTACGATACAAGATATCCATGTTTTTAATCTGAAAACTCATTGAGGCTTTGAATTGTTTCTTTTTGGATAAAAATGATGTGTGTATATATGCAGCAGAGACAAAAAAGAAAAATAATGACGACATATTGTTCACCTTGTGGGATTTCCCATGTTCCAATTCCAGGTTAAGATTCACATTCAGCTGAAACTGTGTACTTCCTGAACAATTATATCGACTGTACAGTGTATACACTATGATCTTGCCTGGCTATACTGGGTAACCTGACTGTACTACAGTACATACAGTGCATATGTACGTGTTGTACCAGCACGGATCAGGCAAATTTTAGACTGGGGTGTACACGCACCTTCCTTCAAGTGTTACTCCATTTTTAGACTGGGGTATACACGCACCTTTACCTGGATATCTAGAAGAAGAAGATCAGTTTAACCCTATTTACTTGGATTTCTAGAAAAATAGGATCAATTTAACCCTATTTATCTGGATTTCTAGAAGAAGGAGATCAATTTAACCTTCTTTGCCTGGCTTTCTAGAAGAAGGAGATCAATATAATCCAATGTACTCGGATTTCTAGAAGAAGGAGATCAATTTAACCTTCTTTACCTGGCTTTCTAGAAGAAGGAGATCNACCTGGAATTCTAGAAAAGTGGGATCAATTTAACTCTATTTACCTTGCTTTCAAGAAGAAGCAGATCATTTTATTCCTATTTACCTTGCTTTCAAGATGGAGCAGATCAAAATAACCCTATATTCCTGGATTTCAAGAAGAAGAAGATAAATGTAATCCAATTTACCTGGATTTTCCGGGGAAGAAGGTTGGTTTAATCCCGTCAGCGCGAGGTTTATAGGATTAGGTGTAGGGTTTACTATTTCGTCAGATTCAATTTGATTTCTGAATATATAATTTTTTTACAATTCTTTTCTTCATTAATTTATCATGAAAACAAAAAATCTATTATATAATGACAAAAGTTGTTTTGGGAGAAATTGCTGTCAAAACTTAGCAATAAACGTATAGTAATAACTTAGTAATAAATGTATAGTAATACAATAAAGTAAAAGATAAACAAATAACGTATACCAGTCAAGCCAAGCCAGACGGATGCGGTGAAACTCATTTTTGAAATGTCGTCCATTTATTAAATTATTGAAATATAGCCAGTCATGGGGTAAAAGTAATTCCATTACAGGACGAGGGTTCACCGACATGGGGTCAAACGACAAAACGGTCAAAAACACGACAAAGAGTAAAACGACAAAGTGTCAAAATGACAAAATATTTCTTTTGATTTTTTCTTTTAATATGCTAAATAATAAGTATCTATCACCTCATTTTGGGTTAGAACAGGTTAAGGCAATTTCTGGACCGAGCGCTGCCTGCGGCTAGGATGGGCGATGATAAAGAATGTTCTGTCTCTATGTCGTTTTAATCTATTATGTCGTTTGACCCTATGACATTTAACCCAAGGTCATTTGACCCTATGTCAGTGAATATAAGGCCAAGCTGGTACGAATTTTTTTAAGCATTTTCAACTTCTGACTTTGCTAGGTATGTAGATTTTGGATACCTGAACAGAGCTTGAATTTGTTCTGCTATTTTCTGTGCATCAGGATTCTCTTTACTAAATTTTGAAATTTATCTTATATTAAACAAGTAAAATTACTCGGTAAACTGCACAATTGTTGTATTTGTTGTATTGCATCTTCATAACTTTAGTTTTATAGTCGTCTTCATTTTCCACAGTTTTCTTGTGGTCATCCAAGGAATCCAAGTCCAAGTCCAAGTCCAACTATTTTGTGATATTGATTAGTCTGCTTTTAACACCTTTAAAAAACTTGTGTAAGGACGACTTTTTTCATGAAAGTAGAAGAAGAACAAAGGCAATAATTTTTCAAAGTTTTGCAGAGTAGCTTTTCTAAAGATTTTAAAAATCCTCGTCCTTCGTTTATTATGTGTTGAAAAGTTTTTAATTCTTGAAGATAAAACTCTTTTTTTATCAAATCTGGCCACGTTAGGGCATAAAATATGGATAGACTAAAGTATTGCAATGATTTCATCATGTTGGAATCTTCAAACCCATGAGAATGATGTAAAACTTTATTTAGGTAAAATTTAAAACTCTTCAGCCTCAGTAATGGCATACCTTTGGGATATGAAATAAATAGCAAAATATTTGGCATACCTATGCCTATCATTTTCCCCATGGAACCACCTGGAAAAAATCTATGGTTTTTACTATAATTAAGAAAAAATAAGAAAAAGTTCTATGATCTCGGAATTATTTGCGGCATTCTACACCAGAAATATCTGAAAATGCACGAACAAAAGGTGAACTTTTAAAGACATAAAACTTAAAAACTTTTATTCAATTGAAACTATTTTTTTTCGATTTACTAAAATTCAATATTTCATTAATGCCCTAACGTGGCACGATTCTTAAACAATTGTTTGATCTTGGAGGACTAGACACTTTTTAAAAATAATATTGGAAGGACGAGGATTTGGAGGTGGCTCGGACGAGAAAATGAGGAGAATGTGGCTCGGACTAGAAATTGTTGTGGCTGGCCTTCCTCCCCTTATCCAAGTCCAAATCCAACTATTCTGTGATATTGATTAGTCTGCTTTTAACACCTTTAAAAAACTTGTGTAAGGACGACTTTTTTTCATGAAAGTAGAAGAAGAACAAAGACAATATTTTTTCTAAGTTTTGCAGAGTAGCTTTTCTTAAGATTGAAAAAAGGAACATCTTTTTCCTCTTAGAGTAAAACTATTTTTCATGCTACGTTACTTAAAATAAATTCAGTAGTTAATGAAAAATGAATAACTGTAATGAAGGATATAAAACAAGGTTAAAACTGAAAGATGGGAAGTGAAGCCTTTATTTGATAGAGTTTGTAAATGCCAGAAATGAGTGGAAAAAGCAAATCAAACCCAACTAAAACCAATAATTTGATATACATCATGATATTTTTCTAGGGGGGGAGGGGTTAAAAAATGTTCTAAGGGGGGGTTTCGGCGCGCTTCGCGGGCCACAGTAAAAAATTTACCCGAGTCTTGTCAAATCTGTTAAAAATTGGTCAAATTAATTGTTCAATACTGTACTACCCTATTTTTTTTACTTATTTAAAAATTGAATCGGAAAAAATAGTATGACTATTGACTTTTTATTTTACGACCAAAAGTAAGAGGAACAAACTTATTGTATATACAACACACGAAATACCATGAATTTAAAAGCTCATTTTTGACAAAAGGAGTTGTGTTCGAAACAATGCAAGTCTGTAAATGAAATGGTTTTACCTGATTGCGATATTGGGAGCATTTTGTCGGGCTTGTCTTTTCCCTAGATTCTTATTCTTCCGTTGTAATCTTTTAATATTTTCCAGGTCAGCAGGCGGGATTTTGTTTAATACGGTCTGAGATACAGTTAATCCATATCTACAAATATTCACAACTATGGATGGATATTGGTTTAAACCTCGTTTTTACACATTCAAGGTTTAAACCTCGTTTTTACACATTCAAGGTTTTAAAGAAACCTAAACTTATCAACCATTTTGCAAGAATAAAAACATGGATATCTAATTCATACTTTTTAGAGAACCATTTCTTTGAAGTGAGAGTAAAAATAAAGATTTAATCAAAACAATTTATCAAAAGAACTTATCCAATCGTTCTGAAAATTTGTTTTGTTTAATATCTTTGACCAGAGTAAAAATTTTGCAAACTGACTCAAAGTGCAAACTTATTGCAGGATTTTGAAATTAGTTTAAAAATCTTAAAACGAAGCTAGGGATGGATCGTTTTCACTTTTTTATAAACGATCGTTTCGATTTAAAAACTACAAAGGAAAACCGAAAATCGAAACGATTGTTTTAAAAACAATCGTTTTAGCAAACTTCGTAGTTTTGTAAACAAAAATATAATGTCGTTTTTTTGACGATCGTAATTGACGACCCTTTTTCTTACGACTGTTAACGACAATCCTTCGTTAAATATCGTTAACGACCTTTTTAAGACAAAATACATTTTTGGTCGGAAAATCCTCAGAACAGAATACCGAAGGTTAGAAATTCCTTATGTCAGAAAATATTAAGGTTATTTTTCTCGGTCAAAAAAGCACATTTAAAACAACATTCAAAAATTTATCTTCCGAAAAAAAAATAAAATTGATTGTCATAAGATTCATTTACAATTTTTTTTCAAAAACGATCGTTTTTATAAAAAAACTATCGTTTAAAAAAAGGTCGTTAAGAAAACAAACATTTTTCTTTTTTTAAAAGTTCAAAAGGAGTGGTTATTTTTCAAAAACGAAACGAAAAACGACAGTTTTTTTATCGTTTTTAAAACTGATTAACAACTTTGAACGAGGCTCATCAATTATCACAACAAAGTAACTAAACACTTGCCAACAACTTTAATTTATCTGCAAACCTTTGATATTTCAAATTTTGATTAAAATTAAAATTAATTAATTAAAAGTTTGACATTTTAAAAGTGTCTGACAATTTCGAGATTAAAAAGTATCAATTTGACACAATTGTTGAGTTCTTCTATCTTTGACCCTATGGTTTTTTTATCGATAAATATGCGGAATAGCTTCTCTAAATCCTCTAATTAAATCAACGTTAAAAACCAAAAGTTTAACGGAAATAGCGAAAAAATAGAATAAGAAGTCTTCAATTTTCTTGTCCACTTTTTTCAATCCTTCTTTTTCCTCGAGGAAGTGTTTAATTTGATGGATAATTTTTTCTGGCGAGTTTTATTGAGCGGCCTGAGCCATCCATTCAACTCTAAATTGCGATTTTCTGAACTAATCAGTAAAATTTAAAAAGCATGAATCATTTAGAAACATAGTAAAAGGCTAATATAAAAATTTGCATGAAGAAAATGCTATATGTTGTATTACATTCGTATTATGGAGTATAAAGCTTGGAGATAATATAATAAAATAATGGATTCTCGTTATATTTTTTTTTTTAAAACTCTACTTTTATGTCTATTTGCTGACTCATGTTTTAGCAAAGAGAACAAATTGTTAGTTGTTAATATCAAACTTTCATTACAAAAGAATGCATAGACTAAATTCATATTTCTAAAGGGACAGTCCGTGTTTTCTAAAGGGACAGCGCGTGTTATCTAAAGGGACAGTCCGTGTTTTCTAAAGGGACAGTCCGTGTTTTCTAAAGGGACCCTTCAGTCAAAACTCTTTCCAGAGAGATTTGTTTTTTCTTCTAATCTTTCGCAAACTTTTTAATGACATAACCGACAAATACAGAAAAGTTAAAAATTGAAACTTTAGTCATTTTTATTTTTACTTTTTTATTTATTCAGAATCGCCCAAAACACCATGAAACAAATAAAAATGAAAAAAAAATTGACACGAATAGCCTTTTTATACAGGGTGTCCCAAAAAACATGGGAATTCAGTGACGAATTCGATATCGTCTTTTCAAATAATTCTTTGATTTAGTATAGTGATACCTACTGAGAAAGCTGTAATCTGTAAGAGTTTCGTCTGCTATGTTCACATTTTGTTTGTTTATGTTTTGACTGCAACCGGTTGTACTTAGTAAAACAAGAAAATTACAGAGATGTGGAGCATAACGTTGTTTTATAGCTTTAAAAGTACTTAATTCTATAAATTTCTCAATTGTAGAAGAATTGCAAACGAAAATAACCATTTTGCAAGAATAAAAACATGGATATCTAATTTATACTTTTTAGAGAACCATTGCAAATCGGATATGCCATTGTTTCAAGTATCAGGGAAAAAATTGTTTAACCAAAACTTAAAAAAAACAATCTATCAAAAGAACTTATCCAATCGTTCTGAAAATTTGTTTTGTTTAATATCTTTGACCAGAGTAAAAATTTTGCAAACTGACTGAAAGTGCAAACTTATTGAAGCATTTTGAAAGTAGTTTAAAAATCTTAAAACGAAGGTAGGGATGGATCGTTTTCACTTTTTTGTAAACGATCGTTTCGATTTAAAAACTACAAAGAAAAAACGAAAATCGAAACGATTGTTTTTAAAAACAATCCATTTAGAAAACTCCGTAATTTTGTAAACGAAAATATAATGTCGTTTTTATTTTTGACGATCGTAAATGACGACCTCTATTTCACGACTGTTAACGACAATCCTTCGTTAACTATCGTTAACGACCTTTTTAAGACAAAATACATTTTTGGTCGGAAAATCCTTTCGGGTTGAGACTAGACAGCTCATCATGGAATGATTGTTGAATTATTTATTTATTCACTCAATATTTGGATTTTTTTTTCTTACAAGTCTTTTACGCGTCTTTGTATTTAAAACGTCGTTTGGAATTTATAATTGTTTTACAAGTCTTTACAAGTCTTTGCATTTAAAACGTCATTTTTAATTTGTAATTGTTTAACAAGTCTTTATAAAGTCTTTGTATTTGGTAATTTATAATTATTTTAAAAGTCTTTTACGCGTCTTTGTACTTGAAACGTCGTTTGTAATTTGTAATTTTTAATCTTTAAATTTGTTCTTAAAACGCCTTAAACGTGATTAATCTGTGAATCTAAACTTTTGTTTTTTAACAATTTTGTAGAGATGTTTAATCTGAAAAAAAAATTGTGAAAAGGATCAAAATTATTGGCTATCCCTAATACAAACAAATAAAGACAATCATTACACTGTTTTCTGGTATATATATACAGGGTGTCCCACATCACATTGGATCGTTAATAACTCTAAATTGCAATTTTCTGAACAAATCAGTAAAATTTAAAAAGAATGAATCATTTAGAAAAATTGCAAAAGGCTAATATAAAAATTTGCATGAAGAAAATGCTATATGTTGTATTACATTCGTATGATGGAGTATAAAGCTTGGAGATAATCTAATAAAATAATGGATTCTCGTTAAAACAATTTAAAAAAACTCTAATTTTACGTTTATTTGCTGACTCATGTTTTAGCGAAGAGAACAAATTGTTAGTTGTTAATATCAAACTTTCATTACAAAAGAATGCATAGACTAAATTCATATTTCTAAAGGGACAGTCCGTGTTTTCTAAAGGGACACCACGTGTTTTCTAAAGGGACAGCCCGTATTTTCTAAAGGGACCCTTCAGTCAAAACTCTTTCCAGAGAGATTTGTTTTTTCTTCTAATCTTTCGCAAACTTTTTAATGACATAACCGACAAATACAGAAAAGTTAAAAATTGAAACTTTAGTCATTTTTCTTTTTACTTTACAATTCAGAATCGCCCAAAACACCATTAAACAAATAAAAATGAAAAAAAAATTGACACGAATAGCCTTTTTATAGCAAAAAAAACCGTTGTTGCTACTGAAATAAAGAATGTTTTACCTTTCACCATCTAGATCTACGATAAACGAGTTTCTTTCTGTTTTTTCAAATTGTAAACCTTGAACTGCTGTCACCAAAGTTAAAAGAAAACTCAGCCTTAAACAATATTTAAATGTAGATCTTATCATTTATTATTATACAGTTAAACCATGCATCGAAAGAATTCATCAAATGTCGTATTCTTCACTTTCTGATAATGGAATATTGGAGATATTATTTTTTTTTTAATTAAATGATCATATGGAGCTCTATAAAACTGTTCCCGTATATTCATGGCTATTTATTAATTTTCGCAAATACTGAGATTTACGTAAAATAGTATAAAACCAATTGAAAAATTGTCAAGACGACATTTGATACATTTTTTCGATGAATGGCTCAAAGGTTGAACTTATTAGCTTGGTAAAAACAGGGTTCATTGTCAATTTAGAAATAATTTGTTTCCAGGATTTTAATACTTAAAGAAAACAACCAGTAAACAAAAAATGCTGCGTTAAAAAATTTGTTTACGACGCATTTCGATTTGGGCATTCATTGCATTTGGTTGCACATATTAATAAACGTGAATTATACCTTTTTCTTTCACTTTAAACAAATTTTAAGAGATTCTAGATGTAGTATAAAATTTGCAGGTACCTTTAATTCCATATTTCATTACTAATGCTATAGTAACATTTGCTTTTACTGTTGCTTTTCAAGTTGCGTTTTTCATTGTACGCTGAGGACCAGGTAAACAAAAATTTTGCAGATTTTTCTGTTTAACAATTTTTTTGTCGAATTTTTATTCGGGATAATTTTGACCGTCAATCAACCCTCCTCGGTGACTTGAGAGTTGCCACAAAAAAATTGGTTCTGATCGGTTCAACCGTCTTGACGTTTATTGGATACAAACAATCAAAAACAACCAGACAGACAAGCCAAATTTACAAATAGATAGAACAAGAATGACGGGGATCGTTTTACAAACGAATTGTGCGTGATTGTAAAAACAAAGAATTTTTTTTTTTAATCATTTAAAGGGAGTGTTCGCAAAAAAAGGGTGTATAGGCTTACGACGAAAAATAAGCGCTTTTGATCGCTACTAATCTGACTTTTTTCTTTTGCGTTTATAAGGAGAAAATTGTTAAAAACGACTTATGCTGAATAACGTAGCATCCAAAAAAATTTCAAACAAATCATTCAGATATTACAACCTTTAGTCATCGATTATTTTTCTCCACATTTTTGTATATCTAATTTTTCATAATATTTTTTACTTCTTTTATATACAATGCACCTAAAACAACGATTTTTTTCCGCTAGGTGTCTCTGTCAGGTGGAATCATTAAGAGCATCGAGAGCAGAGACACCTGGCGGACAAACTAATTGGCGTTTTAAGTGCATTGTATATAAAACAAATAAAAACTATTATGAAATATCAACTATATACCAATGCATCGAAAAATAATCGATGACTAGAGGTCGTAATATCTAAATGATTTTACGATCCTCGAGTCATGGATTGCAATTTTCTCAATTTGGGTGGATGCTACGTTATTCGGTATGAGACGTTTTTTTTTACAATTTTCTCCTTATAGACGCAACAGATAGAAGTAAGATTAGTAGCCATCAAAAGCGCTTAATTTTGCCGTATGCCTATACCCCTTTTCATTTTTCGCGAACACTCCCTTTAAGACTGTTTTTGCCATGAAAATAATGTACAAATCTACCTGGCATTTAAGTTTTTAGCTATAAATTAACCTTACCTTTTCATTTCTAATTCTTTAATCAAATGTAGATTTTTGATAATATCCTCACTATTTTAGTTTAACAGTTTATTATCACTTGGTCAAGATATCTAGCTTGTGCAGTGCTTGTGCAGTGCTTGATGTGCTTGATATTCTCACCTTTTCAACGTTTAACTGCAGTTTTAAAACCCATTCCGTGCCTGTATTGCAATCTGATAACTGTTTTAATGCTTTCTTATATACTTTCAATTAAGCTGAACTCTCTTCCAGACGTGATTAAGACATTGTTCTTTAAATTCCTTTTTCTTAAAATTTCAAAAAGTTTAAAGGGTATTCAGAATTCTAGAAACACACAGCAAACCTTTTTCACCAAAATTCCTGAAATCAATTGAAATCAAGAAGTTCTATTTTCCCTTTTACTGTAACCATGCAGTAGTAGAAAATAAAGAACTGAGCGTGAAACAGGTCTACGTTTACCTATAGTTATATCTCATATTTTCATTTTACTGTAACCATGGAGTAGTAGAAATAAAGAACTGAGCGTGAAACAGGTCTACGTTTACCTATAGTTATATCTCATATTTTCCATTTTACTGTAACCATGCAGTAGTAGAAATAAAGAACTGAGCGTGAAACAGGTCTACGTTTAACTATACTTATATCTCATATTAACCAATGACTTGTAGTTTTCACGTGTGTAAGTCTTGGCTACAAAATGTAAAAATAGCATGAACCTTGTTTTCAATGATTAAAACTTAATCTTGAAAAAAAGTATGAGGACAAATATTTGATTATTTATCATGACTAAAATAGGAAAAATGCTTTTATAGAATAGATGTATCATATTGATGTTTCAAAATAATACCCCCGTAATATCGACATACATTCAAATTTTCGATATTATTTATTTAAAAATGAAAAACAAGAAATGTTTCCATCTGATATCATATTTAAAATTTAAAAATATTGTAAAATTTAATTAAAATAAATTATTAAAGTTAAAAATTTATTCAATTCCAAATTTACAGACACAAACTACTGATTTACTTCACAGAGGGGGGCGATAAAATTCGTGAGACGTTCTTAGTACGACTTTGTGACCTACAGGGTGTCCCAAAAAACATGGGAATTCAGTGACGAATTCGATATCGTCTTTTCAACTAATTCTTTGATTTAGTTTAGTGATACCTACTGAGAAAGCTGTAATCTGTAAGACTTTCGTCTGCTATGTTCACATTTTGTTTGTTTATGTTTTGACTGCATACGGTTGTACTTAGTAAAACAAGAAAATTGCAGTATACAAACAGAGTAAACTTGTCCGTCTTCACTGTTCATCTTGCGGAGACATTATAGACA